GTGTGTGTGTGTGTGTGTGTGTGTGTGTGTGTGTGTGTGTGTGTGTGCGCGCGTTCTTTGTCCCGCAGGCACGGAAACAGAACTCCTGCTGTGAAGTCATGTGATGCCGCCGCCTCGTCCTCACGGGCACGCCTCTCTGCCTTTCTGCTTTTTTTCCTGCAACCCCCATCATGCACACAGCCACCGTCTCACCACAAGGCCGTCTGGTCCCGGGCGGGGCGCGGGAGCCAGGGGCGGGCGGCCGGCCTGGGCGTCCAGCCCGGGCCTGACCTCTCCGAGCTGTGGCTGATGGGGGCTGAAGGAGCGACGGGGCTCGGTCAGAAGACGAAGCCTCATTTCTAACAAATCGTATTAACCTTTTCAATCGGGGGAGACATGGTGTGATCTGTACCCGCTGGGAACGTCCCACTGTGGCGTAATGTTCTGGTGATGTGTCGTCCAAACCGTTTAATGTCGCTCGGCCCGAATCAAACCATAATAGCTCGATCTGTCGTATTCATCGGAACAGTTTTAACCACAGTTGTGCTTTTGCGTCAAGGCAACTCGGACAATCTCACAGTCTTATGAGTTCACCTCTAAAAATCCTTCTTTTCTCGTAGGGACAGCCTTGTGCGCCCACGTGGCATTCCCCCGTTTGGCTCCAGCACAGTTTTACCGAGCATTAGTGCGGAGCTGAATCTCCAGGCTCCAAACCTGAGCCTAGCACAGACCCGTGACCTAACATAACAGGAAGTCACAGTAACTTTTGAAAAACGTGTGCTCTCTGGTGCTTAGCGGCAAGGCTTGGCCGTCGTGTGTCTCTCTGATAATGTTAAATGGAATCTTCAACATTCCCAGTTTTGATGAGCGTGTGAGTAACGGTGATGCTTTAGGCTGACGAGAACTGAGATTTGTAGTCAGATGTTTCCAGATAAACACAGCCTTACTGCAGTGTTTCTGACCCAGAACGCTCCGTCTTCAGGCTCTCGCTTTCTATCGATGTGATCATTTGCTGTACTACACACGTTTTGATAGACGCCGCCCCGCACAGGCTCCTCCAATCAGCAGCCTGCGTCCTCAGGAGGACCGGCTCTGGCCGCCTGTCGGGCAGCGTCGTTCCTCCCTGAAAAGGGGGTCGGACAACGTCAGTCCGAGGCTGGCTCTTTCTGCTTTTACTGTGAGCAACCGTTCGCTTCAATTTAGGTCCCACTGGGTAGAAACAAATTTCTTTTTTTTTCTTCAGGAACCGCCGAGTTTAAGTGATGAAGTGATGCCTTTGGTTGTGTATTTTAGATGTTTCTCTTCTCTGTGTGTGCGTGTGCGAATCGCCGATCTGCCACATCCAGCTGTGGGCTGCGTGGGTGTGGAGTGCCTGTGTGTTTGTGTGTCTGTGTGTAGAATGGTCGTTGTCGAAAATGAGCTTTTCTGCTTTTACAGTGTAACAATTGGTGCAATATCTGCAGACTATAAAGTGAGGAGGAAAAAAACATTCTCACAAAACAGTACATTGAAATTCGTATATGCTATTATTTTTCACCGTCTCCCACTTGAATGTTTCTGTTTTTCTTTTGAAAAATTCCAACAGTGCGGATATTCGTCTGTAAGATTTTCACTACAGCAAGTCAGGTCTTAGTAGTACGAATTCAACGGTTTTATCCAGATGCAGTTTACACATCTGGAAAAGTGAAGTTGTTTTCTGTCTGTATTAACACTTTGTTTTTGCTAAATAGACTTGTTCATATATTATTTGCTGAACATTTAATCTTGCTTCGATTAAACAAAAAGAGAGAAAAACATGGATTCTTGTGTGTTTTTGTAAATAAGTAGAATCTTCTTTTTTTCACATAAAACAAGACTGACAGGAGATCAGCAAACTTATCTGAGATTTTTTAAATCTGTGAACCTGAGATGTGTCCGCTCTGGCTTTCTTCATGAATGAGGTCCTGCTGCCCCCTTCTGTTCTGTTCATAATCGAGAAGAGACACAAAAAAAAACAATAACAAACAATGTTATAGCAAGAAAGACAGACTTAAAATATTTAAAAAAGAAACTGTGGTAATAATCAACTATTTATTGGTGGGGAAAAACTACCCCCTGAAGTTGATGCACGGGGAAATGAAAGGTACAGAGGGACTGAAATTCAAACATGTTGGAGATTCTTAAAAATAACATTTATTTTATTTTTGATCAATGGATATACGCTGATAAATCCAGTTGAAACTTATTACTAAAAACTCAGGGATATACAGGATTCAGCTATGGCAACATGTTGTACAGCGTTACCTGAAATTGTACCGCAATCACTTTATAATTTAGGTTATTTCAAAATCAGTTTTTCTTTTATAGAAGTGTACCAAAGTAACACAATGCCGTTCATAAGCACAACAAAAACCCACTGTGCTCCACCTGGGCCTGGTTGTTTTGGTTTTTGCGGGTTGCGTAAAATACGACTTCGGAGGAACGTCCTGAATGCAGCGCGGGGGGCGCGTGTCACCGGGCGGGTGAGGTGAGAGGATAAACGGCGAGTCCTCATCAAGTTCGGGCAAACGGGCTCGGAGATGTGGACGGCGGTGAGAAACCAAACCGCGAGCGGCGTCTCCACTGAGGTGAGAAGCCGAGAAAGTTTTAGTCTGTCCGCTCAGCCATAGCCACCAAAACAAACCCCGGTGCCTTCGTGTTGGGGCTTTAATTGACGGAAAAGGCGCGTGCACCGCTGCGAAGGGTCTTGAAAAGTTCAAATTTTTAAGTTTTGTTGTGTGTTTTTTTAACGTAAACGATTCAAACAAAGCGTAATTTCGCAAATGCTTTTGGTTTCTGTTGTTTTTTTGGTGGATTCTCCACGGTGTTTGGATTCCTGCATCATTCCTGCTCTGTCATGGCAGTCTGGAATGCCTCTGACCTCCCAGACCTCTGTGCACTCTTTTCTTTACTTATTTTGTTTTTTTTTAAAGATTCTACCTAGGTCCTGGTGGCAGCTCAGGGTGGGTGTGCTGTTTGTTCTCTGCTGCCACTGCCCTTTTCTCATGTTTGCTCAAAGAACATTTGCTGCATTTTCAGATGGTTGACCCAGAACTCACAGAGCAGCTGTTGCACAATCTGCAGAAAAATGGTGAGTTCAATGTCCTTTATTGTTTTTCTTGATTTCTTGTCGCAGAAACTCCTGCAATGTAGACTAACACCTATAATATGGGCGTGAAAGCTCACGGAGTTATGTATTATTTTGTCATTTCGTATCTCTTTTTGTTAGCCGACCAAATTGTGTATTCGGCAAAAGATACTACTACACACAAAGAGCCTAAACTCACACCAAAACACAGTTCCAGAACCAAACAAACAGATGCAACTGCACAAAGTCGTTTTCAGTCAGTACTTCGCGCCCGCCCTGTTAGCCTGACAAGCTTTAATTTCATATTTAAGAGCAACATCTGACAGAATAAAGAGCCTCTTAGGAAGCTGATAATTGCATTTCCCAGCATGAAGGAGCAGTTGCAGTTCCAAATTGCTCTGTGTGTTGTGAGGCTAAATCAGGGACATTCCGCACTGGGCTCACATGGAGGATTTTAAATCCAATGCCGTGTCATGATTGAGTTAGTTTTTATTGGCGACTGTCTCAGCGGCGTGCGCGGTCTCCTCTGTGGCTGAGCTGTTTTGAATGCTTTCGAAGCTTCCACGGCAGCGGCCACCGGTTCCTCCGGCACCGAGGAGTCCCTGACCAGGAGCAGTGGAATCATCCCCGGTGAGCAAAACCTCTACGCCGTTCCTTAAGCTCCATGTCTTCACACAACCTGTCTGCAGCTGCACAACAAAGCCTGGTTTTATTAGTCTTCCTGGAGAAAAACTACTACAATCTACCTATTACAAATCAATCAAACACGATTGTTGTTAATTTGACCTGGATGTGCCTATATGGTTGTCGTTTAAACAACCATAAATAAAAAATACCATACCAAGATACACTGCTCGTATTCACCCGCATTCAAGCTGACTTCATGGAACATGTTTTGTTTTGTGGGGAGAATATATCCGGCACACAGAGACACACCTCCAGCTGCAGAGGATCCAGAAAAACCGTCCTCTGTTGCAACATGTCAAACTGAACCCCTGTGGTGCTTTCAGGTGCTATCGCGGCCACGGTGTTCATCGCCTTCCTGCTGGGCCTCTACGCCGTCCTCTGGAAGTGCATGATGTCCCCGCCAAAACGGTAAAAAAAACATTTTAAAACAAACCCCCAGCACACTTTGAGGGTTGAGTTTTCCTGCTTTTGGGTTTTTGCCGACTCGTGGATCTGCCCTCCGGCTGCTGGTTCATCAGCCTCTCGCCTGTCTGAACTTTGCACCTCGGCTCGTTACCTCAGATGATCCCCGCTGTCTCCCCCCACCCCCCTCTCATTTCTGTTTTCTTTCTTTTTTCCAGAAAGCACAGCAAGGTGAGGGTAAGAGCACAGCAGAAGGCACCCGTGTGAAGAGATGAGGAAGACCATTCGTCTTTAAGCAGGTTTAGGATGTGGAGAGATGCACTTAAAAAAAAACAAAAACAAACAAAAAAAATGGATCACATCTTCAGAGGGAACAAAAGGAGCGTGTGGACAAGTGGCTGGTCTCCGTTAGTTCTGCCGTCTGCTGGTGCCTCCTGCTGACTCGACGCTTAATGATGATGTGAAACACTGTTTTTTTTTTTTTCAGGTCGTCCTGTGCTGCTTTTTGTTTGTTTGCTGTGAACTCTGCACTACTGAATGGGCGCCGGCTCACTGAAGTCGTCAATAAGCTTACATGTCATAGAAATGTTAAATATAGCTCTTATTTTTTAGCTTTTTTAGTTTTGTTTTAAATGTAACGGAATCCTGTGCGTGGCGGAACAGATCACCATGAATACGGCCGTGTTTTAGTCTGCCCTCGATGCTTAAAAAGCCCCCATTGTAACTAACCCTACCAGAAAGATTACTTTTCGGGGAAACAAACAGCACTCCGTTCAACCTTTCGCAGAAACTTGAACGTTTTTCAGAGAGGCTTCAGTGTTTGTATAATGTGCCATTTCGACTGGTTCAAACAGACAAACCACAAAGACATCTGTCTTCTCTGGCTGCCTGCCTCTACCTCTCCTCTTTTCAGTATTAACTCGACTAAAAAATTCAGAATCTGATTTGATGCAAAGTTATTTTTGGTGGAATCAGACTAGGGCTGAACTTTTGAACCAGAGAATTCTCTGGAATTCATTTCACATATCCAGTTTTTTCTCAGGATGCTCTGACCACTGTTTGACCTTTTTAAAAACATAATAAACTGTAACTTTTCTTTAGTCACACCTTGTTCCTCACTGTCTCTCAAAGCACGTTTTTTTTTTTACATGAAAAGTCGACAGATATCGATTAAAAAGTTCAGCTCCAGTACAACAATATAGTGCTGTTATTCAAGGCCATCACGGGGGAGAAAAAAATCAAACACTATGGCATTCCTAGATTTAATTCCTATGCTAAATTGAAAGTTTGGCTCTCTGGATGTCAGTTGTTGGCCCGTTTCTGCCACCGGCCGCGTGTTTGACACGTGGTGCGTCCAGGCCTCTAAGAATTCATTGGAGCAACAAACCAAACTCGTGGTTAATCAGTGGTTACCTTCTTTGCCCCCGTCGACTCCTGGAAAGAAGATAAAATCTTGTGTTGTAGCAGTGCCGGGTGTCCTCACTTGACACGTAATTAAGTTCTAAACGTCCTGCTTTCAGTTTTACTCCCTTGGCCTTATCAAATGAAGCATCTGCCTCATCAAACAGCATCTCTGCTTTAGTTTCCCATTCAGAGTGCTTTAATTGAATTGAAAATAAGGTAAGATCAGGCAGCCACAACATGCTGTGTAGGAGATCATCAAAAATAAATTGAAATAATATTTTATGGGTGTAAAATTAAGGAATGGATCAGATCTGAGGTCAGTTGTCTGCCTGAGGGGGTTCCCAGTTTTAAGGGACTGGTTAAAAGAAGCCCTGATACTTTTAATAATTTTAAGAGACATATTTTGAAGAGCAAAAGCTAGATCTTGACTAAGCTTGTCAACAAGCACCTGTATTTGATCAGCCTTTATTGGTGACCCCTTTTACTAATTGGTGTGCCAGAAATTGCATTAGATAGGGATCGCATGTGACATTTAGTCCGATGGTGAATTAATGACATATACGGTGTCACTTGTTACTGTTATCGCTACATAATTGTCTGCCCATTACAATAAGTGGCGTTCCTAAGCTCTTAAATGGTGACATTTCAAAGTTCAGTCATCACTATTTGGAACTCTGGAGACCCAGATGGAAACTGCAGTACGGTGATCAGTGATAATGTTTGACAAATAGAGATTTAAAACATACGTATGCATTGAAGCTTAGGGAAGCCGCAGACACTGTCCTGTCGTGCTTTAACTTGCCCAGTCATCTCATCTCAGAGCTTGTACTTTCATGTTGGAGAACCAGCTCTGCAACTTTACGAAAAAAGAAACACCAAATAGTCCTGTGCTTCACCTCAATAAGGAGCAGGAGATGTTTTTTTTGGTGGAAAACTGGCGACAGTGTCAGACAGAATCAGAGTTTAATTACTTGGTTTCTTAAAGGCCATTTTAAAAAGGGCATCATCTGCCCTTTAAAACAGACTCAGACTCAGATTTTATCATATAGGATGCTCTTAATGCACAAAATACATTTGAAGTAATTTCTGAAACATTTAATTTAAAAAAACAACTCTTACACAACTGTAAACCTATTTATTATCTGGTACAACATGTGTAATCTTTTGAAGATAATACATACTTTCCAGTTCCTTTATGGTTTATCTTATTGCAGAAATTCACTTCTGCCATTTCAATCACTTTTTCATTTACTATTACAATCAAACTTACGCAACATACAATATAATACAGATCTATAAAACATTTAAAAGTAGCCCTCTAAAATCCAAACACTTGCACATGAGCAAGATTTGAATTATTCCTAAATTCTAAATGTAGGTTAGAAAACAGATGCCCAACATGTCAATTATTTGAGCATTTCCAGAATAGTGCTGGAATAGAAATAGAAAAACAGCATGATGTGGCCTTTGGGGCAGAAGTTATGCCTCATCGGAGATATGACCGTAAATGACCACACCTGCGTCCTGCAAACAGTCGGACGGCTGGAGGCTGGAGTTAATGACGCTGAGGGTGGGCGGTTGTGGCTCAGAGGGATTCCCAACCACGCTTCTTAAGTAGCTGTTGTTCGTGATGCAGGTGTGCTGGGCGGGGCTTTTGTCCGGGGGCAGAATGGCCGACTGTGGATGGTAGTCTCTGCGGAGGGGCACGCGGCACGCTGACGTGGACGAAATGGAAGAAGCGGAACAAGGGGAGCACGGCGTGTTTGTGAGCTGGGCATCTCTCACTGAGGCCGCTTCGTCGAGCAGAGGTCTGATATTTAAGACCTCGATGTCACAGCTGATGCATTCCTCCACGATCTGAGAGCGCAGCTTCTCAACCGTCTGTGAAAAAAAAGGCACGGGGTGTAAAAGAAGCACATCCTAATCTATAACTCACATGGAAACAAAACTAACATCTGTGGAATACACATAAGGCCATGAATTCAATTATTTAGAATGGTGTGAAGAAATAAAATAATTAAAAACCTTGAAAGTCTAAAAATGTAAACAAAATGTCCCTTTTGCTAATCAGGTTTCTTTTAAAAAAATACATTTTCAAGCATGAACTGTCTATAATATGTCTACAACATTTGTTGTGCTCCATAAATTTGACATATTTGAATAACAAAGAAGGGCACATTAATATTTCACTATGATGACATTCAGCACCTTATTCATTACACGGTATTTGTGGTGAATATCTGATATGGGCAGCAGATCATGACTGTCAGTGGTTTGTAAATACCTCACAGAGGATGCTGTCATACTCAGGCACTTTAATGTTCATACCATCTGGATAAGCAAATATCTCCCTGAGCCCGCTCTTCAGCCTGGAGGAGAGACGCACGCCGCTCACATTCACCCTGTCGACTTTATTATTGCTCTAACGTGACATTTACAAATAACATTACTCACATTTTGCGTTGGGGCCACAGGAGAATCGCACAGCCCAGAAGTAACAAGATCGGAGTCAGGATCTTTGCCAGGTGGGCGGAGTCTACGGGAGAAAAACAGACGATGAGAAGTGCACACGGTCAGTTGGTAAAAGTCAAGCTTTATCTTGTTGACCCGTGGCCGGGATAGATAAGACTGAGTCTGCTGTGCATTTGTGTTTAAGTGGGATGTGGTAGAGCTCACAGCTCATTCTGGTCCTGATGATGACAGTGGCAGCTAGTCCAGGCCCCACACTGGTCAGAGCGCTCACGTAGAGCGTGTACTCTTTGTTCTCGTGCAGGCCTTCGATAGTCACGGACTTCTGCCGGGGGTCTGTGACGGTAACGTTGAACAGATCTAGATACACACAAGATCGTATGTGCATAATTTGAGACTGATTTTAAAAAACTACGACGGTCCAGAACAGAGCAGTTGGGGAATGTAGCTTTGAGCTAGATCTGGATAAATTCATCTTAACACTGGAAGCTTTCCTCTGGACTCACTTGCAGCTTGTCCTGGCAGGATCTCAGATTCCGCTTCCTGAACCGTAACCAGGTAACCTGTGATGAATGCCGGCTGAGCCGGATCATCTTCATTGTAAGACCACCCCAGAGTCACAGAGGAAGACGTGCTGTGAACCGGCTCCACCAGATTCGGGGGCTGTACTGATCCTATCAAAATGAAGGGGGTTTAATGATGGGAGACAGATCATATCTAAGACAATTACAATAACTGACATATGCAACGGCACATCTTTGTCCCTATCTTTCACACATCTCTTTGCAAGCTAAAGATAGCTCTGACAGATTTGGAATGACTACAAAAAAATTACAATCTTATTTGCCCTGCTTGATTAATTACATATCTTACCAAGACTTGGCTCATATGTTAAGAGAATGTTCCGCAGATAAGGCTGCAATGAGGCCAATTTCCTTCAACACATGAACTCTTGCTGCATCTTTTTTATGTTTTGGAGTCCAGTAATGTTGATCATTTGCTCATGATTATTGTCTTATTAACTGCTGATAACTATAACTATGAAAACCTCTGCACGGTATTTCTGCTGTGATCCTCAGCAAAAATAACTCTATCTATGATTTCTTTAATGTTGATAAATAAATGAAAAACACATATCTCCATATCTCATTATCTGTCGAAACACTCACTGATCTCTTCTGAGTATCCCGTCTGTATCTCCAGAAGTCTGTGTCCGTTTGTTGTGCATCCGTAGATATTAAACGCATACCTTCTACCTGCGGTGAAATGCTCTAAAAAAAAGAAAAGGACGTCTCAGGATATCTGAGATACCCCCCAAATAAGAGGGGAAAAGCACTCCAAATAACCAGTTACTTACCAGTTGGCAAATCCAAAGTGGTGGTTTCATTGGATACCTTCTTCCACTGCAGATCACAGGGTACCACACTTCCCATCCTGCACCATTCCACCGTATAGCCACAGGTGACAATTATCTGAGCATCCCAAGACAGACTGAAAAAACCAGCGGTGGTGGTGCTCAGCCGCCTTTTTAATGGGTGGGTTTCTGGAGAGGTACAGATATATATCACTAAGCACACAGATTTAAGATGACTGTATTATTCCCATTAATAGTAGATATAGAGCTACAGTATAAGAGTTTAAGCTAAGTTGTTCACCTGACTGGTCCTGTGGAGGAATGGTAATAAATTCGGGGATGGAGGAGCCAACTTCGAGAACAGCTTGGACGGTGAAGCTGCACTTTGCTGGACCGATGGAAACTTGTGCTTGGCTTTGTCCACTCGCCTTCAGGTCGGTCCAGATCTGGCCTCCCTGTGACCACTGAATCGAGTAGCCTTTGACGTTCACTGTTTCGGCTCTACCAGCGACATGCTAAGGAAAAATGACATGAAACAGATGGTTGTCCTTTATTTTGAGATTCTGTAAAAAGAACTGTACTGAAATATCATGTGAAGAAAGCCTTACTGCGTTCCACAACAGAGTAACATGACGAATGTGGGAGTCAGACATCTTAATTCTCCTCCATAAGTCCAAGGTCACCAGTGGATCTGGGGAATGGTCTTTATTTTAAGCATCGTAGAGACAGATCATACCACAAGTAGCACATCTGGTACCATCCACCATTACCACGAGCCTATGCTCAGGAATTGCATTGGGAGCTTCTCTACAAAAAATATGCCAGAATTTTGGCCGGAAATACATCTAGGATAAAATAAATTATTGGCTTTAACTAAATGTCTAACGGAGTGCGTTCTTGACTGAAAACTGAATGTACTTATTCTGATGTAGACTCCACCGTGCATTTCCTGTTTGTACTTACATGTTGTGTAAGAAACTGGCTGTGTCCATTTTCCCCAGAGCCTGCCGTTCACAGAACAGCGCACTCTGGTTGAGTAACGTGTGTTTGGCTGTAGATTATCCAGCCTGACTTTGCACAGACCGTTGCACCCCAGCTGATGAAAAAAACATTAACAATAAGGCACAAAAATCTTGTGCCCACTATTTCTATTAAGATTTATTCATGTGGTTCCGACACAAAACACCTCAAGGTACTTCAATAGCCAAGGTGTTTTAATCAAAACTGATGAAAAATTTACCTCCGCAGTGCTCTCTGGAACAGTAGAAACCTGACAGAGGAGGTTCATTTGCATCGATTTCCCCTTTACACTCCAGGATAAGCTGACATTCGTCACACCAGGGATCACTCTTTCCCACTCCAACACAGGAAACACTGACGTATTTATCAAAACAGTAAACAGCACTGACGCGAACCACCACGCGGCTCAAACAGCCACCAATTCTGATGTTAAAGAGGCCTGACCTCTGTCAGAGATGTTAAAGCTGTAACTTTCCGTTTCCTCTCCCAGCTTGTTCTTGACCAGCACCCAGATGTGGTATTCTTGCAGCTGTGGCAGGACTGGGAAACTACAAGATGATGGCTCACAGCTGATGGGAGCCTGGTTGGAGTTCCTGTGTTTACACAGGAATGTAGACGGGAATAGAAAAAAAAACCTCAATAACCATCCACCACAACTCTGTTTTGTACAGTGTGTAGAACGAAACAATAAGTGTATGAGAACCTTGTTTTTGTTTATTTTTGCAGTTATGTAGCGCTTTTTCAAACCTGGTTACACAGTGATTCACATAAAAACAAGTACAAAATGTTCCTAATGGAAGTTCCACAGATAGAGACTGGAGGAGTCCCTGAAGTATATAACATGTAAAAAGTTTGCAAATATAATTTGGAGCCAGTGTTTGTAGAGAAAAAAGGTGGTCTGGATCTGAATCCTGCATTTCATATTAGGTCCTGGTGAGAAGTAATCATGGAGTTGAAGAGTTTAGAGCCAACTGGAAATCTTATTGCTTTTTAATAAAAGCCAAGAAACTATTACAATAGTTCTAAATGCAAAAACATGGATGCTTGAATTCAAATCTCTAGAAAGTCTCTAAATGGCAAGACTCAATAATTGAGTTAACTTGTCTATAAAGCTTCAATTGATCGACCAATTATGTTAATTTATCTGAAGTCTGGGTCAAGTTCTAAATAGAGAGAATGTTTATAGAAACTAAAGGGCATGCCAGAGACTTACAAATGCTACAGACAAATTTGAAAACATTTCACCACAATCTATGTGCATAGGAAAACAACTCTGAGGAGAGCAGTCTCAGTCCGGGGATGAGAACTATTAGAAAAAACACACCATCTATTCTGCTTTGAACACATGCTACATTTCTGGCAACATGTATGTTGCATGGGTTTACCTTATGAGGAGAGTCTGTGTTTGCTTGCTGTGATTATTTGGGTCTTGTTTCTTGCTTGAATCCCAAGTGCAAGTGACTGTTATCATGTCTGAGGTTGCACAAGAGAGGTTTCTGGGCTTCTGTGGAGGAACTACAGCATACGTGTCAGGTCTTTCTTAAGATAAAAGAAAAATCTGTTATATAGTCATAACAAATCAAACTCACAGCTGATATAGTTCCACACATAACTGGGCTTCCCTGTTGTATCAGTGCAAGTGAGTAAGAGAGCTTTTATGCGTCTGGTTGGCATCGGCAGGTTGTGGACGGTAATAGCCTTGACACCGACCCCGATGTTCATATGTGGGACTATTCTGTTCTTGAAAGCAATGCTCGTGATATTAACTCCTGCAGGGGGAACGCAGCAGAACAGGGCTGTAGAACCCTCCCTCAGCACCCGTTGGAAAGGAAAAATTTTTGTTTTATCCTTTGCTTTGACTCCTACAAGACAGAATCATTTTACTGTGCAGATAAGGGTCAGATGAACAGATATGCTGAATTGTGAACAATCTGGAAAAATGGCTGCTAAATGCCTACGATAACAACATTTCTTATTCTACAAGATATAAAAGAGTGCTGCAATCGGCAGGAAGTGTGTTTGACATTACAAAAGTCCATTTCCATACTGCACACTGATATAAAGATTAGTGATGGGGACAGGAAGAGAGACGATATGGACCTAAAAAAGATAGTACTTAGAAATACCGTTATCTATAAACAGCATCGGAAAAGAACACGCAAGCTCCAAATGTTTGATTTTAATTTCGATCAAACTCTGAAAAACATCTCACCATAGCTGGTCATCCAGCTGCTCCAAGGGCTTGAAGCAGAATGATTACAAAAAACACGTATCCGAACAGAGTGATCTACACACTCCAGAGGGAGATCTGAGGTCCATGTCCATGTGTTTTCAGCGGAATCTCCAGCATATACACTCACATTTCTCTAGATCAAACATAATGTGACATGTAATGTATTAAATCTAGCCTTGGCAATAGTACAACACTGATTTGAATGGAGTTGGTTTTAACCACCATCAAATTATAGTTGAGGCAACGGGACTTTGAATACTCACCTCATAAATAACAGTGTGCTCCTCAGTGCGGCTGATCTGGATTTCATAAATGTCACTTGATGAGGCGGCGTGGTTCACCAGCCAGCTCACCACAAGGCTTTGCTCATCGCTGTTAGCATGAGTGATGTTTAGTTTCGGTGCTGGTGAACCTGGCAGACAGTCGAAACTCATGTTAAGATACAGGAATAAACTTAAAATAAAGGAAGAAAAAGAGATTAAAAAAATATATCGAGAAACACTTACCAGTGTCAGAGCAACACTCGCTGACATCCCTGAAAAATACGAGAAACAACCCAAGCCAGCCAGTGCAGAATATTCTGACACTCATCATCCTCTCAGCTAAGAAATTAGCACATCAGAATGGACCACAAGCCATTGACCGTGCACACAAACTGGAAGCCTCATGAGGTAAATGGCAGTGTGCTGATAATTCATCAGGAAGTATTGCGTCATGGAGGACAGGAATTCACGAGAAGCGAGTGACTATCAAACCCAAATGCAAATACGCTGCCACAGTAGTTTTATATACAATATCAACATGGCACTTTACAGAGATGATTAAAGAAATTACAAGACAACATGTATTAAAAACAAAATCATCATTATTATTATTATTATTGGCAGTGCATAAAGCAATCTATCTGAAATAAATTACCAGAAAAAGCAATGAACTCACTCTTTACATCACTTACAGTATAAGATAGCAAGATTGTTTTGGCACTTCAAGTGAGAAAAATAATGGTAGGATTATAAGATCCTCCTCCAACATTGTGTGCATAGGTAGCCTTTTTGTAAAACTACACAAATTCAATACTCAGAACAATAATGTCATAATATTTCTATGTTTTGCAAACGCATACAATCTCTTATAAATATCAGCATGGGGCAAACAAAGCGATATATTCTACACATTGTTTGCGACTCGATTGGCATCCAATATATTTAAATATCCTTTTAAGTGCTCAACGGAAAATTACACAATTATTTCTGTCCCAATTTCTTGATGCTCCCGGTCAAAGTGTTTGAAACACATATGTACCTGTGTCTTCGAACAAGTGCAACAAATATTAGAGAGATAGTAGCAGGAAAAAAACATGGTGAGGACGAGCGTAAAAGATTATTTTTTTTAGCTAAAAGGCACAATGGTTTGATCACACCGGAGGAGAAGATTCATTTGCTCACGTTAAAGGCACACACTGCAGTTAAGAGCAGTTTGTTTATCATGTCTCACAGCACCTCCCCTTAAATTTGGATATTCTGTTTGAACATAAATTTGAACCGACTACACTTGGATAGATACAATTGTACGCGGACACATAAGCAACAGATAAATTATTGTCTGTCCAGTTATAGGTTAGGCAACTTGCTTGCTTTGCTCAGAGGTAAACAATATTTTCCTCTCCTCCGTCTTCTCCATTTCGTCCTTCAAGAGAAAGGTAAGCTTGTGGTGGGAGGAGAAGAGTAAGAGACGGCGAGGAGGGGACTTCCTTATAAAGTCTGGGGTCTGTAACCTCTGACCTCCAGGAACCAGGAGACTGGGTGTCCTGCGTCTGGTCTGCTGTAAGGAGAACAGAAACTGTGTTTTGGAGGGCTGCGTAAAGATTCGTGTCAGATTCATTTGTTGCATATGTGGCGCAGATATGTCTTACTGTTGTTGGTCCTTTGCTGCTGTGTGGCGACTCGGCTGCTGAATGGGTGGAAGGGGTCCAGAGGTCGCGAGCAGGTGTGGCTGTTGGTGTAGTTTGGATAAGTCAGAGCATCCAGGGGCTGTTTGCTGTGCGTCTGACTCAGCAGGGTGTTGAGGCTGTTGTACAGGGTGGCGCTGAGGCTGGGGTTAGCAGTGTAGCTGGAGCTGTTCACCGGGTCCTCGCGGTTCTTTTTCTGCATGGAGAGTGCATGTTGGTGCTGGTTGTTGGTGTGAATTGGCTGGTGGAGGTGGTTCTGTTGCAGGGAGGTGAGCAGAGGCGCCTCGTTTCCGAACACTGAACAGTTACCGTCCAAGCTGCCCGAGCGGCTGTGAGCCGACGCCTAGAACGAGGACGTCACGCAGAAAAGCAGGTTGATGAAGCTTATCTGGCTCTTTTCTTTTGGATTTTTTATAACCACACTACCATTCTCGATCCTCCGTCATGGCTCACTTTCTCCCTCCAGTCGGCCCTGGCCTGCTTACCTTGTGTCTGTCCAGTGGAATTGTGACCGGTAGGCTGCTCTGCCGGCTATGTCTCCAGCTCTGAAGCAGCCTCTGCTGGGCCTCTATCTTCTCCCTCTCCCTGTCGACAGTCCTTTGGCCTTCCCTCAGTCGATCCAGGTTTTGCCGATACTCCAGCATCTGGGTCTCCAGCTCCACACGCTCGCAGCGAAGTCGCTCGGCCGCCAGGAGACACTGCTGCTCTCGCTGCTCCAGAACGTTCTCCTGCTCACTCTGCAAGCATGATGTTCAGTCAGTTAAACTGCTGCCATATGTAAACCTGCATTTCATTTGAGACAGAAATCAATTAGTGGTGTTTTTGTTTTCTTTAAAACTTTTTTTATCCCTGATTTGGCAAGTGACCAAAGATTTGTACATGCTGAGTAAACTTCTTTAGACAAAGACACGTTTTTACATGAAGCATGTTTAGAGATTTAAAGCTGGAGGTTCACCTGCTGTTTCTCTCTGGCCACACACTCTTTGTCCCAGCGTTGCTGCTCTTGTCTCAGCTTTGCATGGAGTTTCTGCACCTCATCCTCTTCTTTCTTCCTCTCTAAACTCCTCTTTTCCTCTTTGACTTTGTCAGTGCACCTTTGCTTCTCCTGTTCCTGGAAAAAAAAGACACTAATGTCTTCAACATTGATATCAACTAACAATACAGAAATGTTTTGTTTTGAATAGAAATATCATGCGTTTTATACCAGGCTGCTTTGGAGAGAGGTGATGGTTCGAAGCTGAGGTCTTTCTCCCTCTTGGAGAAGGAGCTTGTGGACTTCATAGGAGCTGTCCTGGAGGGTCACGGCTGCCTATTATTTGTAAAATAATCAATGTCAAACTTTAGATTTAAATGTATATATATATATTAATGAAGCAATTATATATGTATCTAATAATACTGCATTAAATCCAGTGTTCAGTGTTAATTCTGTCCTCACCTGCAGACTATAGAGAAGCTGAGTGAGGCTCTGGACACTCTCTGCCACCTAGAGAACATTGTGTTATTATAGTGGAAAGACAATGCATATTTATCAATATGCCAAAATTTTGCTCATTAGGAACTAAAGTGTTTGAACCTTTAACAACGTCCCTTTGGTGTCTCCCTTTTTGAGCTCAACAGCTGAGCTCCAGGAAACATTATCCAATCCTGCCAACTCACAGTCTGATCCAAAAGAGGTGGAGCTCATACTCAGTGTGCTCAGATAATCCGCTGTACGAACAAGGAAAGGGGGAGGAAATATGTGGAATTTACCCACATCAGACAAGATCCAGTAGATTGTGGGCAGCAGCTTTGGACACATAACAAATTTGAGGCTGTGACTCACGCTCAGAGGGGGACTCGTGAATGCTGCTGCCGTGGCTGTTGTAGCTGCAGCTCTCGGGCCCTCGGACAGGAGAACTCTTACTTTGTGCAGAAAAGCCATCGGGAGCCTGAAGAAGGGCATTCAGGTTCTCCGCTAGAGAGGAGGCAAACATTTGCAAAATGTTTCGGCAACAAGATAAATCTGCAGCATTACACAACACTTTTCTTTTTAGCATTCTTTTCAACTGTTCCAAGTAAAGACAGAGCACATGCAATGGAAAATGGCTGCCTGTTGTCTGTGTGAGGGTGATCCTCCTTCTGGTTCCCTGTCTCTCTGGACAAAAACCCTAAATATACTCTGATTGCACACTTAAAAATAGATACATTTAATTTTGTAACGTTTTAACGTAATTCAAGAGATCACTGAACCCATATTTTTGTTTGTTTCTTTTGTTTGTTGTTAAATTCCTAATCAATGTTTTGAGTGTAACTCGTTTAACTAAAAAAAAAAAGAAAGACAAAAAGATTTAGGTGCAATACTGATATTTCCATGATATTCTTCCCATGAATGTCTTTGGTTCTGAAAACCATGCAATGAAAAGAAGATATTGACACAGACACTGTGAAGGGAAAACAAATACAAGTGGATCTGTAAAGTGCATATCAAATATTGTCAATATTGCAGGTGCTTAGAAAATGCATAATATATAATATTTTGACAGCCAATCATAACAGGTATCGGGTAAATAAGTCTCTGGATCGCATATCTGGGCCGGCGTATCTGCTCTGCTCTCACCTTCTCTGAGAGCCGCCGTGAGCAACGGCAAAGCCTGACGTGGCGTCTCAACGTCAGTGTACTGAGCCGGTTGCACCAGCAGATGGCGATGTGGCACAGCCTCTGGCGAATGGAGAGCCAGTTCCGAGAGTTCAGCGTATAGCTGCAACTTCTCCTCCAAACTGTGGCAGATCCGTTGGTCCTGACCAAACAGTGTTTCTGAGGACAAAAATAACCCGGAACAAACAATAACAAAAAAAAAAAAAAAGACGAGAGGGTATGTTATTTTCTTATATTAGAAAAAGATTCTTCGTAATCTATGTCAACACATGTAAGTAGATGATTTTTATTGTCTTACCCTGGAACTTGTTGATCTTCTGAACTCTCACTTCTGCGGCTTGTCTGGCTTCTTCTGTCTCAGCACTGCGCTCCTCCTCCTCTTCTTCCTCCGGACAACTGCCATGTGGACCGGTAGGTTAGATAACGAGTGAAACAAACATTAACACACTCTAACAAATACTGTAGGACTGATGTGAACCACATGTGCGTACACACACCTCTCCACAGCCAGTCGGATGTGCCTCATCCAGGCATTCCTCTCTTCTCTGGAGGAGGTGTGAACTTCGTACATCTCTGGGCCCACTGAGGAGGCCGAGATAAGAAACATTCCTCTCTCCTCGTTGGCTACCTCTCGAACGATGAGCTTCTGCAGTGGGATTACTGGAGGCTTCTGGTCCTTGAAGAGTGAATCCAAAAGGATGGGTTAAATGATGGAAAGCCTGAATAGCTCTCTGATCTCAGAGTTGTTAGGAGAGGCGCTTACCACAGAAGCAAAAACAAAGCGCTGGTCTTTCTCTTGCAGGAAAACCAGAACGTCCGTGAGTAAAATAGCCAAAGTGTCTGAAAAAGGGAAAAGATGCCCATGAAGGTTGGTGGTTTAAATCCTAAAAATAGTAGAAAATCTGCTCTCACTCACACCTTTCAGGCGTCCAGTGGCAGTCTTCCAGTAGACCAGGCCTTTGTACTGCAGATCCCTGTGTTTGCTGTGCAGATCCTGCTTGCGAAACACCTTGTCGTTTTTCAGTTTGGCAAAACTCTTGGTTTCGAGCCGGACGAGCACCTCCTGCAACTCCTGACGTCTCTCGTACTTGCTAACGGTCAGGTCCACTGCTGTGATGACATCCCGGATCTGGAACAAAGCACTTGACAAGTCCAAGTGTTCCTGAGTTCCGTCTGTGGACAAAAAAGGTTTCAACAGAAGACACGGAGCGCCTTTTTAGTCAGGTTTATCACAGTGAAAATGTGATATAGCTTTAATGCGAGCTCCATAATCCTGCTAAAAAAAACAATAGGCAGGCATTCTACTGTGGAACAAAATAAACGCCCAAGCTTAAGACATGCAAATATTTATAGTTTTGCAGTGGAAACCAAGGAGCTGACGGACCCTGAGTGTACTGTAATATCCTCTCCAGCAGCACTGGGTACTTGGTGATGCGCTGAGTGACCAGCAAGATAAATTCTGGCACCCCTCTTCGTCTGACCAGCGAGTTACTGCTCTGTTGCTGTGAAGTTAGAAAATATCAAAATGAGAACATCCTCTGCTAAATCGAGACATTTTACTGTCATGTTCACACAAAGGTGGGAGTTCTGGGGACTGGAACTTACTCTGACAAAGTTTTGGAATTTCTTGTTCTGCTGCTGCAGCTCTTTAAAGACATTAACAGCTTCCATATGGTGACTGCAGAACTCTCCGTACACCTGCTTCATCTTCTCTGCGTTTTCATCTGAGAACTGCGGGAGAGCATCAGATGCTGAGCACAAACGTGCTCCTTTGTCTATTTGTGTGCATCAGTGCATTGGCACGCACCTGCTGGAGCAGGATATCTCCAATCTTATCGATGAGGTAATTCCGCGGATTGTCCGTCTGCGCCGTGGCCTGCCGGCGCTCCTGGAGCGCTCGGAAGAGGTTCCTGTGGAAATGCAGGAGGGGATCCAGGCAAGGGAAGATGCGGGCAACGCAGTCCCAGTCCAGCTGCAGCTCCTCCAGCATGCCTCTCCTGAACACCTCGGACATGACCGTCAGGGTCTGGATGTGGTGCAGCTCGGTCTGCATCAGCTCTGTAGGGAGGAGGGAGGGGCATCACAGTGGATTGTGGACAGTCAGATATGGGCTGGAAATGTGAGCTCATGGGCACAGATTAGTTCATTATTTGGGCAAAAGTTTCCAAATCTCAACGGACGATTGTCCTTTTCATGTGGACTAAGAGCATTAAGAATATTTCATGTCAAAATACATGATCCATCTTTACATAAGTGTGGTGAATGCAATTGCCTGATTTTTTTTAGGAAAAGTATGGCAAAGACATATAAGCAAGAAGACTCGCAAGCAGATCAATTAAAAAGCAAAAACCTGAAAGAATGATATTATTAAAAGCTTATACAAAAATAATTATCCATATGTAAAATAATTATCCATATGTTGCACAGTACTTTAGAATGTCCGAAGTACAAACCAAGCTCAACCATTATCCGTATTGTATGCTGGATTGGCGCCGTCTATCTTAAAAAAAATTATTTCTTCAAAAGAGAGAAGGATCTCACCATAAATGACATCCTGCCGTTTGATGGTACGCCTGTCGAGTTTCCTGCAAAACTCTTTGCTGACTACAAGGCTCCATGATTCGGCTTCAAGCCCCAGCAGGTCAGCTGACAGGTCGCTCAGAAGAGGAGCATCAACAGCGTCTGTAGGACCAGGAGTGACAAGTTCAGCACCTAACTGGTTCAAACGGTCAATTCTGTGCGCGTTTGTTCCTCACCCTGTGTGCTGATTGGCAGGTCGGTGGATGGGGGAGTTGTTGTGCCAGGTGCTCCCTCCTCAGACAGTGAGCTGTTAGTACAAGCCGTCAGGGCGCTCTCACTGTCCACCCCTGACGCGTCACTCAGCCCTCTGTTAAGAGACAACAGCCGGAGGGTTGTTGACGATATGTGAGTGCAGTTTTCTTCATATAAGCACTCTGAAACTGAAGTGAGTCTTTGGAGTGTGAAACTGCATTGTACTGTTATCATAATGTGTCATTTGAATGTTTTCAGAATCCAAAATCCAGACATCCAAATCAGTTTTAATGTACAAACTAAAGCCAAAGCAGTCTATGTGATCATCAAACGATCAACAGATATTTGATTAATCTAACAGGTGAAAAATAACAAATCGGCGTGTTTAGTCCATCTCTAAGAGCCTTTACCTGACGAACACAAAATACCACTAACTTATGCCGCACGGCTGTCAAACCTGCTGTCTGTAGAGATGGAGTGGCTTTTGGGAAAAGTGCTGCCTGTATCTCTTTTTTCTTTGGTCACTGCTGTAACTGAGGAGGAGGAGGAAGAGGAAAGTGTAGAGAGCATGGACGCTGAGGAGTTCTCCTTTGATGAGTCTGAAGGAAAGATCAAGAGGAAAAGCAATCAGTCTCATCCTTGGGGGCCTTACAGTTCCACAAATAAATATTTCAAGTGTTTGTGTAACGTTCGAATGTTTTTCTGTCGCCAGTCACAGGTCCGGTTGAATTAGGCTGCTCCACAGCTCAAACTGGTCATTGAACTGGGCCACTGTCCCAGCATACAGGCTGTGGGGTTACCTTAATGACTGAAGTAAGTCTGATGTTTTTAAAACTGAACTGTGCGAGTAAACACTCAAAAGTTCTTTATCCAATATTATCTGTGAGATATCTTTGTACAGATGTTTGTTCAGTCACAATGTGGGATGTTTTAAGCTGTATAACGCATGTAACAGAACAGCATGTGAGTGAGAGAAGCATCAGCGGGCATGTGTGGCACCTTGTATACATGCAAGAAACTTATGGACTACAATCGGCTCTGACTAACAGGCTTTCGTGCACCAGATTTGCTCATACTAAAACAAAAAGCCATTCTCTCCAATGGCATGCGAACAAACCAGACTCACTAGAACTGCACTACGAAACTTAGTTTGGAATCAGATTAGCTGAAAGCTGGGTCAATATCATGTAACAGCAGCTGATATCTGACACTTTTTTCAGATATCAAACACTTCACATCACACACTCTGTTCTCATTGAAGTTAGGGACCAAGTCTGCCGCTACCTTCAAATCCTTCAAAACATCCTTAAGACCTTTTTATTTGAAAGCCCTTGCCAATATACATCCATCATGCATATCATATTTCTTCCCCAGCACCAATCCCGTCTTGCAAAGTACAAAACAAATATCGTAATCATCAATAAGACAGATTGATCCTGTTGGTGCGGGAAAAATACAAAACCCAGCAGTCATGCACAAACACACGATCCAGATGAGATCCCCCACAGAGGTGGATTAAAAGTTAACAAGAGAGAGCGGGGGATGAACAGCAGTGGCTCACTTAATCCGCCACAAGACAAGGGAGGACAGGTAAATGAGTAAAAAACCAGGGGAGCACATTGTCGGTGGTTTTGGTGGCCTGGGTGGGAGGATTACTCACTCTGTGGGAGAGACATAGTCTTGCTTTTCAGCAGCGAAGCATTCCTCTCCTGCTGTTTCTAGTGGAAACACATAATAACAATAACGTCAACATGCGCTAATCCACGTGTTGATGCTCAAAACAAGGTGTTGCACTTGTGATGACATACATTCAGTCAATGATGGAGTCCAGTTGATGTGAAAACAAAAAAGAAAAAAAACGCATCTCAGATATTGTTGAACTGTGTATGTAAAACAAAGTTGAAGGTTTTTAAAAGAATTTTGGTGCGGAGCAAAACTCTGAGGCAGTGTTGTGGGATTGCTGCAAAGTTTTGTTTGTGTTACACACAAGTACAAGGGTACATACTGTTTGCACAGGCTCACTGGTTCTAATTATGCCAAGTAACTGACCTACATGTGTAGACTTTTCTGTGCAACTGTTCAACCCTTTGCTTTGAAAAGTCGTCCTAAACTCAAGGCTTGGTTGGAAAATTGAAACCTGGCCACGAAAACCATCTATTTTTACAGCTTGAGAACAAACACGAAAAACCATTTGATAGGTTCAACTTAAATCAAAAGAGTTTGTGAAATGCTGATGTGACACGTGGGATGTGCATTTGTTCTGGACGATAGCACATATAACTCACAGAACTACATAACAAATTATGTCCTGGCTTCTTTTTGTTAATAATTTGTTCCATTCCAACTTCAAGTGTTACTGGAGAGTGACACATGAACCCATATGATACTGACAAAAAAAACAAAAAACAGGTTGTCAACAGATTTTTAAGATTTAAATCTTGAAATGAGATGAAGGAAACTAAAAAACAACAACATACCATTCATCCCTTCCGTGCTTGGGTACATTAACTTAAATTTATTTCAAGACAAATGTATCCATTTTGAAATTAATCGTCCATAATTTTTGGCAAGTCTGATAGCCCTGCAATACTGGCCCAAACCAGTATTATTTGTCATAGACAAGATCGGGTCCTTAAGCTCCTTTTTTAGATCATGAAACATCTCACTTTATAGTTAAGTGTTTAGTTTAAGTCTGTAGTTAGCTATTAGCTTGTCTCTCTTGGTAACTTTTTGCGACCATGTAACATTACAGCCCACTGGCTAGCATTGATCCTATTGTATTGAATTAAATTTGAACAGTTTCGCTAATGCTTTCCACTCTAATGAGCATCTACAATGCTGTTCGTGAGTTTCTCAGAAGTCTCCTTCCGTTATGATACAGTTAAACAAACATGTCAGATCCCTGTTATAATGAAACGGGTTCCCGCTGGATTGACTGAAAACATCTGACTCTTATCTCATTTCAAATGAACTGTTAAACTTAATGTATTCAATATGCCTTCGTGAAAACACAATAAAAATTTAGGTTCTAATTTTGCAGAAGCAACCACAGTAAGACATGCTGGCAAATCTTTAAATGTTAGCATGAAGTTTAGCATGAACAACCTCCACATTATTATTCATATCATTCAAATACACATCAAATACGAAAAAAAATTGTATGTCTGTCCATTTTCTTGCGTGTTTTAAAAAGAAATGTGAGCATATTTCTTTAAGAAAGTTTAGGAACTGACTATCTTTGCATGTTGTTTTTCAGATAAAGCAAAATATTACCTTTCCACAGGCTGCAACAGACTCTCTGCAGTTTTTATGGACATTAAGGGAGCAGTCTGTTAATGAGGAAAAACAAGCAGATGAAATACAAGTTAATTCAATAGTCACTGATAATTAGCAGAATGACCAGATTCAGTGTCCGGATGGCCGTCGAACCACCCTGCTGCAGGCGAGCAGTGCGGACCTAACGATAGGAATGAAACTGACTTCATGTCTTCCACTAAACAAAGCACCATGCCAGCACATGCAAACGGATTTTAAACAAACCTTAAGCACTTCAGCCACCACAGGACATAAAAAAACAACAGTTCTGACAGTCTAATACTCACTGGAGCACTGTAACAGCTCTTTCCCAGAAACAGACTTATCACAGGCCACACAGAGAGCTGGACCAGATGGAGTCACAGGAACAAATTGGTGTCCATTAGTGGATCCCGACTTCTCCTTCGCCTCTTTTACCTCTTTCCCCTTCACCTGAAAAGCAAGTCATAAGTCAGTTTACTCATTTAGCTGACATGAACTGCATTTAGAGTCGGAGAATCATGTAAACTACAGAGAGGAGGCATGCAGCCTCTGCTTGCTGCAAAACACCTGTTAAAGTGAGGTTAGTGGAGATAAAGGGGCCTCCGAGTCTGCTTTTCTGTTTACTTTGTTAAGGTCCATGGGGAAAGCTGCTGTTAGAGTGCTTTATCCTTAGGGGGCATTAGGAGGACTTTTTTCTCTGTGTGTGTCTGATAGAGCAATGTTTGTTTTCTTATCAAACTCTGCGAGGAAGTCTCGGAGTGTGTGTTTGCTTTTTTGCTGTACAAGTGCATTGTGTGTCAGAGCAAGCAGGGAACATGTTTTCCACATACAAACATGAGCTTGTAAAAGTCTGAGAATACAGTAAAACCTGTTTTGGTTTCTCAGCCTTTGTTAAGGGGGGCTGACATGTTATGTAAGAGAATATTTTCACTGTGTCCTGTTGCTAAGACCTGAAGAGAGGGAATTTTCTCCTTTGCCAAAATAAGGCAGAATGCTCAGACAAAGGACCCCCAGCGCAGGAATTCTGACCTGGCTTATCTGTGAGCTGGTAAAGCTTTTACTGCACTACATAGGGAGGCCTTTCAGCCCTGAATGTTTTTAATTAGAAAGGTCAAATACAGGGTTTTTGTCACGTTTCAGAGGCTTTTTGGGGGAAATCTCAGTGCAGAGCTGCCTCACCTTGGTCTTGCTGCGGGTGCTGGACATCCTGCTCTTCAGGAAGCTGAAAGTCCGGCTCACTTTGTACTTCTCTGACTCGACTTTAGATGGGATTATGTATTTGTCCCACTCCTCATCCTCGATTCTTTATCACATTTCATAAAAAAATACTGTCAGAATTGCTCATGTTTCCATTGTACAATGTATGACAGCAGAATTCCATTCAGCATGCAAACTCTTCGGACAAAACAAGCCATTATTTTAGTGTTTTTAAGAGACTGGAAAGAGTCTAATCAGGAACAGTAGTGTCATGCTGGAATGAAAGAATGTCCAGACAGTGTTCCAGGACCCCTGGTCGACAGATTATTACTCTTAATAACATGCTTGGCATGCTTGGAAGTCACTATGGACTCTTGTGGTTGCTATTTATAGTATGACCTTGGCAAACTGCAATTTATAATGTGTCAACTATTTACAGCAACTTATTCTAGCTACGACGAAACCTTTAGGTGGAAGGCAACAAAGACACAAAGGAAAGAAAGAATCATGCACTATCTGAATAAAGCTGTGTTCTGCTGTTTGGTTAAAAAAAGTGTTAATGTATTGTATCAAAATGGATACAATGTAGCTGCAAAAAATCCGTGGTTAAAGGATGAGCTGGGAATGGTTCCATGATGAGGTTAGAATGAGTTAAGCCACACATGCATGTCTTTGCAGGCCACTTTGATGGAGACATACTCTTTGAGGAACTCTGTGAGGGTGAGGTGTTGGAGTGATGCGCTGCTCTCCTCCTCTGCAGACTGGGCCCGCTTACGGAAACCCAAAATCCTGGATGGATATAAAACACCTCAGACAGGTCGCTGTGTTTCTGGTAATCGGGTAATCAACTTTAAAATGAGGTTTCAGAATGTAAGACTACAGTCTAAAATGACTTATGGACACCTGTGACTATAAATATTAATCACTATTTAAGCTAATGTAATATTGGATCGCTATTTATATTGTGAATAACAGTGGTAGATGAGCCTGATCAGGGAAGTGTTGTGAACATTATATCATGGTGATCGAAAATAACCAGGACCACCTAATGTGATCTACATGTTCTCTGTTAGTAGTGCTCGGTTGTTAGCAAACAAAAATATGCGAATGATGGATTTATGAAGCTGTGAGATGAAACTGGCTTTAAAAAATATGGATGGAGGTAAGATTAAGTGAAGTTAAAGTCAGCTAAACGTGTTACATGACGCACATGTTAATTCAGACCAACACTTAAAATCTGCATCAGTGATGAGTGCAAAAGTATCACTGATGTGGTCTAATGTGTCCTCGACATGTCTCTGAAGTCTGACAGCCGAGAAAGCAAAGAGTTTTGCTGTTTACTCAGGGTTATTTTGAGGTTGCAATCAGAGAATACTCAGGCCCCAGACTTTCAGCAGGAAGTATGTCATATCCTGCACACTAAGACCACGACCACAGGTTCAAAACTTAGGAGACACACACGCATTCACTTATCCCCCCACACATGTATACACAAGCATGCTCCTTCTGAGGCCATCTGTAACCGCTGGTCAACACTGATGCCTAAAAAGGAGGAGGACCTGACACAATCAGGAGGTGGGGGGGGATGTGTGAGCTCATGAAAATGACACAATGGTTTTACCTTTTTTCTCTGGAAGTCTCGGCCAAGTTGAATGCTCTCTGTTCTGTAATGAAGAACAACAAATACGCCAGAAACACGAGTGAATACATTTGAACGTGGTAACAGAATCAATGCTGATCAGTCGGTGGGATAAGAAACCACCACCCCCAGTTAAAATGAAGTTGGAGGCAAACAGGGGGATCAGAGAAAAACGCCTGGATCCAGGAAACCCCGACAGAGAAAGAACAAACACAGCAGCGAGTCCTGCTTCGAAAAAACAGATGACAGAGAAGATGGAAAAATAAAAACCAAGAGGAAAACAAAATGTGACTTAATGGAAGCATAACAGAACCCCCAGACCAGAAACGATTCTTCCTTCAGATGAGCTACAGGAGTTGTGCATTTTTCCGAAGCCTCAGTCGTCCATTTTTCAGTCTTTATATGGTAAATGATAATGTCTTTTTTGGGAAGAACCTATTATTTCATTATTAAGTCAAAGAAAAAAACTCAAAGCTGTGGGAAGATCTGCTTTTGTTCACTAGATAATTGAAAGGATGACATTTACAGAGACCTTGGTCTGACACAAACCCCCGAAGAATTAAATTTCACCACAGATAAAGAGCTGAACAATTTAAGCGAAAATGAGATGATTTGTTTGTGCCAAATACATTTTTACTACAAAATGCTCAGGAAAATGATTTTGTTTTTCTCTGCATGCTCCACTATCCTTGAATCAAAAAGTTTGGAGACATTTGACTCCTTATTGTGCAGCTCGTGACTATCACAGATCCGTCTCGGTGTTCACCACACACCCTAAATGACTAACAGCAGCCCACTGACCAGCAGCATAAGAGTTGCAGTTTGCCTCTGCTCTGGTACTTACTAACTTGGTGGAGACGAGAGAGGGATTTAGACAGTGACAAAGCCTGAAGTAGAGAGCGACCGCTGCTGCTGAGCGCACCATCTACGCAAAATAAAACACGACCTTAATGCTGAACATTCACTCACAGGCGCCTCAGGAAAGGCTGCTGCATCACAGCCCAGCAGAAACTAAACACACGTGTATGGTGTGGCCCGCAGGTTGATTTACGACGCCTGTCCGGTCTTGCCCCTGTTAGACATGTGGCCCATTTGTCCATTCAGCTGGCTTCTGAGAAGGGGGGAGGTCGTAGGGCAGGGGGGTGAAAGTTCACTCACCTTCTTCCAGGTCTGTGATTGCTGTGTCTCGGTTTAGCAGAGGCCGTGACGGCTTCACTTTAGGAGAGGAGTAGGAATAGGAACGCAGGCGCACTTCAGCGTCCCCAGAACTCTGGGTGAAAAAAATTAACCAGGGGAGTGTTTGAGAAAAAAGTCCTCACAGGTTGAATGTGAACACAGAAAGAACAGCGACCTTTTGTCCACATTATTGAGCAGTGAGTGCTTATCTACTTATGATGTCTGTATCTGTTGTAACAATTGGACTGGATGTTTTGTTTTTGTTTTTGGGGGGGGATGCTGTTATGTAAAGAGTTACCATATAGTCACTGCAACAGTCATATTTAATGTTGGTGATTTAGGACGATGGGTTTGTGGTTGGCTGAGGGGGAATACCTTGTTAGTTTTGTGCGTGCTGTCCGAGTTTGAGCGGTTAAAGTCAGGTGAGGTGTCAAAGGAGTCCCTTTCCTCTCCTGAGCTGGATCGCAAAATGGACCTCTGCTTTAAAGAGGAGCAAGGGTAGGAGTGCCCCAGTATGTCTTCCTCTCCACTGTCACACTCCAAACTGGGGCTGTTTACACACACATGCGGAGATTACAATCTAGCAAAATGCCAAAGTAAATACTCTGCTTTGGCCTCTTTAGACAACATATTTAAATAAATAAAAACCGGCAGACTTAAGAAATTCCCCAGTGCATTCCATACTCTACAGTCTGAGGTCATAGAACAAATGCTAAAGCATCATAATGTCACCTGCTGATCAAAAGTTTCAAAATTAAGAAAAATCTAGACAAGAAAGTTATTTACAAATTATATACAATCTTATTTTAACAGAAAATTATGCTAACATTACAGCAGCATGACTGTACTAAAACAGTCAAGCTGCCAATCCAATACTGTACAAAACTTTCGTTTTGATTTTTTATGTAAAGAACCAGCAGCACTGGTGTCCTACCTCAGGCCTCGGCTTGCATCTGCCAGGCTGCATACTCTGTGATTCGAAGCAGGAGAGACTGGAGGGCATGTCTGCGCCTGACGCCTCTGTGCTCCCTCAAACAAACGGAGGGCGGAAGCCAGGGGAGAGGAAGGAAAGGACGTGGAGGAAGCAAAGGGAGACGGGGGAGAGACGCAAGGGGATGGCTCCCTGTTATTGTCCATGCCAGGGCCTCGGCTTCCTCTCAACCCGTGATGTGGTGAGGACGGGTAATGTTTCTGAGAGCAGCTCCTTGACTCAAGGGGGGTCGATGAGAAGGAATCCCAGCAGGGAATGTCAACATGGGACACAGGACTGACCTCCTCCTCCCCTGGAGAGCGGTACTTAATGTCGGCGTCATCTACCTACATGAGAAAAAGCGAGAAGGCAGTGAAAATAATCTTTACCAGCAAGCTCATTTGTAGCTCCCCCCTTTTAGCAAACACTCCCTATCATTTTAGCATACCCTGTTATTCACATGCTATAAATCTTGCAGCTGCTATACATTGTGTTTTCTCATTTACATTGTCTAGAGACAGATTTTTGTGTCCTCACTCACCTGGTCGACCAGCATGGCGTTGGCAAACACTTGGTCTTTGCCGTGTATCATGGCCGAAAGCCTGGCAGCGGCGGCCAGCGTCGGGGACGAGGCCTGGCTCTCCCTGATGGGCTGGCTTTTCTCTACACAGAGGCAGCGAGTGGATTTTTAAATATTACATTTGGTTTCCACAGCAACACCAAATAACTTCTCACAAACACGGACATCCTGGGCAGTTGCGTTTCATTGTTTGGCCCCAAGACTCCCTGTACGAGCTCTTTGCACACACACGTGAATGAGTGTGCATGGAGCTGTGAGTGGACAGCTGTGGGCATGTTTCTACCCCACCCAGCTTTTCGATGCAGCGGGGTGAGTGGAAATAACTCTTGGTGAGCACACAGCAGCATTGAGAGGAAACCCTTTCAACACAGTGGAGCCAGTGTGAGCAGTAGCCTGGTTTTGCTGATCAACACGGGAAAACACTCCTGCTCTAAAAACACACACACACACACACACACACACACACACACACTTCTCCCATGGGGATATTGCTCTTTACAAAGCACACCTTCTCCATAACACTATTTTCTACCCTGAAGTTTAGAAAATAGTCTTTGCACATAAACAAAGCAGCTAAACGCTGCCAGCCCCGACATGCAGGACAATACGCCTTTGAGGAGACATTTACAGCAAAGCATTGTTTAAGCTTATCTGGAGATAACCAAGGTTCCCTAAAAGCCGAGGGAAAAAAATAGAACTTTAAACAGCTTTTTTCACAGGATTTTAAGAGCTGCTGGTGGCGGTAAAATAATTGATGAAAATCTGCAGGTGACCATCATTTGCTGTTTTAAGGCCTTTGATTTTTATTTAACTGAAAGGTATTGAGTATTTGCAAGGACTGCTGTCAAACTAATGTGCACCTTCAGTGGTGTCCACCGGCTCTTCCAGTTTACAAAACAGTTTGTTGTCAAAGTTTGTTCAATCTGGAAAACCCAGTCACTACGAAATCTGTCTGTTCTGTCTAGGACTTGTTTTGTTATTTGAGAAAAACTCAGGGAACTCTAAATAGCGCTAACGCTACTATTTTTATACAGATTTGAAGAATTTCAATATTCTCTTTTCACTTTTAGCTGACCCTCTTGAACAAGCGTTTTTTCTCTCACCATCCCTGAAGCTGCTTGCTAGCCGAACCTTGGAAGCATGTAATGCATATCATAAGCAGCGCTCTACATTTCATGCAGAAATTCTGAGAAACTGACATCAGCTCCCAAAGTCTCCCATTCATCTTTTAGGAATCTGACCTTTTTAAGCTGTGACAACCCAGGCCTACCCAGTCACTCCATAGGAGGCAATTTAAACATTTGGACAGAAAGGAAACCTTATAAACCTCCTTATTTCGTAGAAAATAGAAATGGTGACGTAAAAACATCTGAAAACATCTCTTTGTTAGTTTTACTGAGAAGTATTGATTTTCCAGTAATGTTTGTCAATGTTGTTCCAAGGTAATTGTTTGTGTGTTTTGAAAATAATGATTCAGCTGTCTGGTTGGATCACACCACACGTGAGAGGGAAAGGCCCACACATGCTTAAAAGATTAACTTAAAGCACTCTTATAGGGCACTGATAGTTTAAAAAAAAGGTAAAGTTCAGTTCAGTCTGTTTCTAATTTGTTTGGTATATCTTTTAATGGCTTTAATATTCATCCCTGGTCTGGTACCTCTGACGGGGTAGACCAGAGCAAAAGAGGCCAGTTCTGTACAGAACCAACTCGCATAACAAAAATAAACTCTTAACCCTTTATGAAGAAAGCAGATAAGTTCAATTCAAGCCCAATGCAATAAAACCCATTAAATCCAATTAATTTTAATCCAGATCGTTCCCGTTTCCAATGCAGTCCAGTTTATTGATTTTTTCAAGCTAAAAAAAAGTAAGAAAAGTAAACAGATTACATCCAGTCTTATTTTCATCTGAATCCCCAAACCTGAGGAAACACGTGTGCACTTCAGAGATTGAGATAGCATGTGTTGAAGATTGCTCTTGCATCCCATACAGCATAGGCTTCCTAACTAGCCTTAATCAATCTATTGCAAAGATGTATCTGCCAAGAATCTAGGAGATATTAGGAATGCTGCAATGCACAAGAAAAAAAAAAGAAACAAAAAGAATGGCGCTGCCAGAAGCTGGGGTCAATTCCTAAAGTGATTTGTTTTCCTCATATGTTGAAATGTGGAGTGAAAACATGCCTTTGGCTCTGCTGCTTCCACCTTCACTCCAGCCCAACCAGCTGAAGCAAAACTGAAGTTTTCCTCCTTTAGAGGCTGTGAGCACAACAGAGTGGAAGAAGATTCGTCCAGCGTTTCGAACAGAGAGTAAATCAGACCAACAATTGGCTGTGCTTCCTGTGGGCGGCAAGTCCCATAAATCTGAGAGGCAGCAGAGAGTTAAGCAGACACTGATGAGGACGCCAGATGATTCCCGTCACATCCACATAAAATATAAATGAAGTTGAACCAACAGAGCGTATACAGAGATTACTCCACATCATTCCTCGTGCTCCCAAGTTTGGAACTATCACTCAAATAGGGAAAAAAAAAACATCGCACTCTCTTCTTCTGTAGTCAGAAATGTCCCTAGCAGTCTGGTTTTATTGTGGTTAGTGTGTACCTGAGTCCTCATACAAATCTGATCGATTTGCATCACAGGATTAGTTTTCTACTCCAAAATCAAGTCTTCCGAGGGTGTTAGAGACTAGATATGGCTCAGATGGCTGTTTGAAAATAGACGGCATTTCGTATAAACCCGTGTGACAGACTTGACAGACAGGCCTAATAGCTTAGGTTCTGGGGAAGGTCCAAACCCACAGCTGGCCGCCATGGGCTCAATCATTCACACACCTCTGACCCATAAACACTGCACCAGTGAACATTACTGTCAGACAGTATGATCTGTGTTTACAATTAGTTAACTGAAGAATAACAGAGAAGCGGGGAGTTCATAATCCTAACAAGTTGGACTTGAGAAGCCACACAGAGGTGTCTACTGATTACTTCTGAAGAATAAAACGAGGTTTAAGGCACACTGAATGGTGTGTTGATCTATTTTTATGGGAATTTTGCTGACAGAAGGTATATATTTGGAGTGGTGGGGCTTTGGGAACGTGTCCCTATGTGAGCAGCCGCCGGAGTGACAGCACGCTGAAAAAAGAGAGAACAGCAGCACTGAAAATTCAGACAAAGGCAGCAGTCAGGGCCAGGTTTCCAGACCATGGTGGTTAAACATGCAAAAGGTGACCCCTCAACCCATGCACACCCCTGGGAGAAAGAGATCGAGGAAGACAGAATGGAGAAAGTGTAGTCCAGGGCAGTTACAAGGGCTCTTTCTCAAGGCTCACTCCATGCAGACGCTGTAGTTCCAACCAAAAACTGAAGATAAACACAGTTATTACTGGTATAAACACCTGTACTGGTTTATTATGAGCATTAAAGAGGTATCCGTTCAAGATGAATCATCTTTTATGATGTAACTTGCTATTTAACCACCACACTTCACAGCTTGTCACTGAAAAATTAGGATCAGATCAAAACAACAAACCAGGTCAAAGAAAATCCCAACAGATGTGTTATTACCTTCTGAAGGCACCGAGGCAATTACTCAACAGCAGAGTTCAGACTGCTTAAATCATAAACGCAACTGTCCACCAAAATCCACAAAAGCAGTCTGAATTATGACACCTGCGGTCAAAGATTCCCGTCCAAGCATCACATACCCATTGTGTTGACATTTTAGCGTCATGAGCGTCAACCAGCCAACGGGATCCAGGAGGAACTGGAGCCAGACAGCGCAGCGATCTGCTCACAAAGTGAACTAGGAATAAACTTACAGCTGTGCACACCTGAAATCACATCTCATCTTTGCACGTGCATTGTCGCCCATCCAACTTCTGGAAAGCACTGCATCACACTGTGGAGAATTTAGTCGGTAAAATTGAGCGCAGACAGGCTGTGGGTACTGTATTTGCCAACGTCAGTCACAATTACCAAGCAATAACACAGTTAATCTTGCAGAGAGTCTGCTTGAAATACGAGGAAAAGGACCACTGGAGTGAAGCCATGACACAGCCATGGCAGTAACTATATCTTCCTCTGTGTCTGTCTCTCCTTCCAACAAACACACAGCCCCTCGCACACAAGCAATAACCTTTCAACCACCAGAGTTTAATTTTGTACTATTTTGAGCAGCCACCCCAGCTCTCTTATGACTGTCAAAGAGCCAGTAAACATCCAAGTTATACCATTCGTACACTTCTCCTTTTAGGTTCAGATTACAATAAATCAATGCATCTAAGCTCCAGTTAAACTTTAAGTGGCACTTTGAGACAGTTGGGTGGAATCTTAAAGGCTAATGAAGACACATTGAACTTCCTTTTTGCCCAACAAGCCAATAGCAACACATAAACACGACCGCTTAAAGCACGAACATAACACAGTGGCGTGACCCGAAGATGCTGAAAGCCCTAAATATTCCCCAGCATATTGTCACATATCAGGTTACATCACTGGAAAAGATGCATCCGTCTAACTCGGACCGGCCGGGCGCTGCAGCGGGGGCCTGTGAGTAAGACTCTGTAATGGGAACAGTCTAATTTTAACTTTATTGTTCCTCAGTGAATGGTGAAACTTATCTGCCCACAGGGCAGCTGCCATCTCAAGCACGGAGGAGCTACATAATCCGCAGCTTCTCTCCTAAACGCTCCACGTACGTGTCTGCCGAACTCTGCAGCAGACATAAACATGCCAGAATCAGTTTTGTCTGCGTGCGAAAAAGCAAGCAAGTCAACAATTATGCCAACTCGCGCAGAGGCAGCTGTCAACGTGAACCAGCGCATTTCACATCAACTGCCACTCTGTTACCTTTTTTTCCTGTTTTCCTGCGCATCCTCATCCTGGGAAATGAAGGCCAGGAGTAGTTGAAAGGAGAGTCTGAGTCCGAATCCATGATTTTTGATGCGGAAGACAATCTTTATCCAAACAGCTCAAAGCGTGTAGTAAAAAAAAAAAGAGAGAGCAGTGCCTCAAATTACATCCATTCCCACATGGCAGAACAGACTCCAGACTAGCTGCCGTGCTCCCTCTACTTTTTCCAGAGCTCCTCTGTAGACTCTGACACTTCAGGAGTGAGCCAGCATGTTCCCCTCTGACTCCCCCAGGCACCCCTCCCCCTAAAAGTCCTTGCCTTCCCCCTCCTCGACAGTTGGACAGAGCTGGGACTGAGCCCTGTCTTCTTGCCTGTCTTTGAAAAATGTATTTTTTTCTTCACTTCCCTGCTCTTGGTCTACCGCTTCAACCTGACTTTCTGACAGCTCTTTTCAAACGTGGCTTCTGGGCTTTTAAGCCCTTCTCCGTCTCCCTCAGTCACTCATCTACCACACTCAGCACTGAGTGAGCGGGAGAGATATCAACACATGCTGACAGGAGCAGGGGGGAGGAGGGTATTGACGGCCGGAAAGAGTGAGTGAAGGAAGGAGAGAAGCAGACAAACTCAAATATAGGAGTGACTTCAGAGCCTGCAGCGAAGACAAACATTAAGGCGAACGGCGTTGCAGAGGTGAGTGTCTGACATTGGAGAAATCATTAACCCAGCCAGTTCATGATTTTCTCCAAAATATACCAGGCTGCAGAGCGGCGCTCTCCGCCACACGGGAGAACGAGCAACAGGTCTGAGTCGTCTGAGGGGAGCTCTTCTCCATCAGCTAATTCTCTCCATTTTAGCATGTCAAAACCGAGCTGAGGGGTAAAAGAGGGGTATCGGTGGGAAGAACGGAGAATGGGAGTGGGGGCAGAGTGCCAGGTCAGCAGTCTCACCATGGAGACAGCAGTGAGAGCTGCGGCTGTTTTCTTCCACGCAGTTACTTCTCTGCTCTGCTTGCCAAACTGCAGGAGCATTAAGTATCATTTACTACAGCAAGGATGCACCAAAAAACTGGCAAATTGGGTGTTAAAGAGAGTTTAGGAGGCAGGTCAGACAATGGTACTCGGGGGTTGGGGGTGGGAGGTATTGGATGTGGAGTAACCTAAATTTAGGAATGTGATTTTTAATTTTTTTTCAAAAACAAGACTGGGAAATAGTATAAAAAAGGGTTTTGTGGATAGAATATATGCTGAGGAGAGTGAAAGAGCCACTGTGACTATAGAAAAAAGTTTCAGTGTGTGCGCATGGAGGGTGTTGGCACTGTAATAGTGAACATTAATGCTGCCTTTGTGGGGTCTGTGTGGGGTTTAATCCCTTTTTCCATTCTCCAATTAGATCCCTCAGTCGGGGTCGGGGGCTCTGGTTGGTGCTCCTGGCATTGCACTTATCATCTCTTGTCACTTTGCCAAACTATCCATATCATAAATCCCCTTCTCTTGCTCTGACTCTTTTTTCACCATTTCGCACAGATGCACACGCACACACACACACACACACACACACACACGAACACACACCATTTGAACACTCCTCCACTCCTTGCCCTGGGGATCACAACAAGCTGCTGGAAAACTGCATTCAGCAAAGCCCTGGCAACCCCCATTCAGCCACAAACACCCCTTTTTTCACTACTTGCCCCCTTTAGAGCGCTCTTCCCTTCTGCATTCTTCGTCTCCAATACACAACCCAGCACATACACACTGGCGATACATTCATACACAACGGGCTCCTTCCTTTCTGTGGAGAGCACGGCTCTTCAGGATGAAGTAGCCCTTGCAATTTGTTCACTAAACTCGCATTAAAATGCTGGGCTGGGAGGATGGGATGAGGGACAGGGGTGTGTAATTCGGTGGGCATGTGTAGGTCCTTGGGTGTAAGTGTGTGTTTTGGGTGGGTTATTTAAATATCAGGGGCAGTAGAAGGGCAGGAATGGGGTAAAGGAAAAAACAAATAAATGGGCCTTTTCTTTTGTCTTGAACATGATAAATAAGGACTCTGCCTTTAAAACCCTTCTTGGTCAACAGCACGCAATAACATAGTTCATAATTATAGTCCTATGAACAAAGTTACAGTAATTTGAACAGCAGGGTAGAAGGATGACATCAAGAAGACAGGGGGAACACGACAAGTATGTTCAAAATTCCACATCCCCTGCTGAGACTCAAGGCTACACAAGTTCTATCTGTCTATTTGATGACGCATAAGCTCAAGTTAAACAGCCCATATTGCATGTGTTAACAAACAGATGGACTCGCAATATAAGCTTCACCACTTTGGCAAAAAAATGTCTAACTCTGCCAGTCACTGGTGACGCCTGACGACTCTGCCATTCCTGATGAAGAATTTAAACTGTAAACGGGTCAAATGGGAATTATTAACCATGCATAAAACCTGAGTCATTTCCAGTTCCTGCTGTCTTTTCATTCAAAAGTTCTGCAGAATTAAATCCGAGTGATGTTTCATAGGAACCACTAAAGACATTTGAAATGGGTTGAAAGAGGTCATGTAAGGCAATAATCAAAGACTACATAGAAAATGTGAAAAATTCAGCCAACAAACAGACACCCACTCTCAAATACACATGCATACGGCGCATAAATGGCTGCACCATTTAGCACGGAAAGCTACACCAACCACAGGATGTTAAGATTAGAGATGTCCAGTGCCAAGTATTATAAAGCCTGAAGCCTCAACTTGTAACCACAGCATTCTTAAACCAAGGCATCGGTCTTCTCTGCTGCAGTCGAAGCCAATTATTAACCCACAGGATGTTCCCACTCTCAGATCCTTCACATTAGCATAGACGCTGAAGAGAATGAAAACACTTAAAAGCTAGAAGGAAGTCCAGCTCATCCGTGTTCCTCTGTCACAGTTCACAGAAACAGGATGCCTCAGATTTATTCTTCGAATGCGATGCTATATCAAAGATTCCTCTTCAGTGGTGTAACAACTGTAAACCAAAGGTGGCAAGGCTGCAGATACTAAAGACAAAAGGGGGACAAGTCAAGTCAGGGGGCCTGAAATGTGATCTTGGGATGGTCTTCAGCCACAGCTGAGGATAACTGCTGAGCTCTGAGTCTTGTTCAGGAAACGTTTCCTCGTTTAATGATTAGAAGCCACTCGGATAGCCTTCTATGAATAAAACACCAGCTAAAACAACAATGATCAGCTTTAGTCTGCACGGGGTGCGATCCATCTCCGAGGGACCACAAGCTCTAACATTACAGCCATGTCTAAAAGTAGACCTGTGTGAAAGGGAATCTGAAAATCTTTACCAGAATGGGGCTGCGTTTGGTTGTCCTCTTCGTCCTCCTCATTCAAGCAAAACACCAGCTGCTCCTCGTAGTCCTCAGTGAAGAAATTGGGAACCTTTTGCGAAACAGCATACATGATTCCACAGTGAGACTTTCTGCGTGCATGCACGCATACCAGAGGAGACGAGGAGAACTGAGCACAAAAACACAAGTGTTCGGCGGGTGCCTAGGTGTGTGAGGCACATCAATTAGTTAACCATCTGTATCACATAAAACAGGTCCTATTGGATGGCCGGAGTCATGTGCCACACCTGTCAAAACATTAAACACCCATTTGACCGCTCAGAAAGTCAAGTATTCACTGCTGTGAGCAAGGTGCCAACTCCAACACCTTAACAATGAGGGGGGACAATGTGAGTATTCAGGCGCGGTCAGCGCCTTGTTCTAGCCATTCCCATAGTTTGCCACAAGCCGGTGCAGATGTTCGTGAGGATTAAACGGGGGGTTTTAAAGTGCCCTATGTCTGAGCTTCAAAACGCATGGGCAAATGCAGTCCCTTCATATTTTCATGGGACACTTTCCAACATCAAATACTCACATTTTCTTCTGCGGGGTTTTCTCCATTTAGGTCAGGAAACAGTGCTGAAAGAGACACAGCCACACAGCAGCCGTTACACAGCCAGCATAGATGTTAGTCAGTTTTTAGTGATAGCATGTCAAGTCTTACTCTTGTTTTCTTTTCATAACCTCAAGGGATTTTGACTGTGTTGCCTTGATCCTCTTTATTCTTTATTTTACAACCATGTGCATCTTAGATCAAAGGACAGACTATGATTGCTAACCAAAAACATAGCGGGGAAAGACTGTGTTTGGCTGGTTTGATTTATGGCCTGGGGCCATGAAAATTGTAAAGGAATGAAATCTAGACTAGGGAAAAAAGTTGGACAGGATGGGAGAAAAAAAATAAGAGATAACACAAGGGTTGAGAGGAAGATGAGACAAAAACGTTGGCAAAAACACAAAAACATGCCTTCTGGCCCTCTAAGACCTGACAATTAACCCCATGTGACAATGTTTGGCACATGGGGCTAAGACCACTAAGCTAAGGACCATTTATGAAATACCGATGTCGTTTGTATTCTAGGTATGCTTCAGTTTTGGGATTAAATTCTTTAAAGGTTATCAATCAATTCCATTTTATTTCCCTTCTTACAGCTAAATCTGAGGCAGAGAACTCAGCTCTAAATGATGCTGTCTGTGGTTGACAAGGAAGCAGGCCAAACAGAAAAAGTGGAAGGTGAAAGTACAGAACAGGGTAAATGAGTAGGAGGAAACTGGTGAGAGCTATAGTCCATTCTGCTTTTATCTACTGACGGGATTAGTGTATGTTCCTAATTAGACAACAGGGCAATGAACTAAACCTCTTCTCTTTCAATGAGGTCAACTTTATTTGACATTATTGGCCAAACCCACCAAAAGTGTAGGCTCTGTGAAAAACTGAACCACTTATACACAACCAAGTATTAAACAATAAACAATGTGGAAATACAACAATGTCACTAAGTTAAAATGTAAAATGTATGAATTTTTTTATCTTCTTCTGGATTTGAAAAAATATCTCTCATTTTCACTCAGCATCTCAAAGTGCCTGTTACAAAAAATGGCAGCTTGTTAAAAAGCGCCTCGACTGAGAGTCACAAGGGTGAGAGAAAGGTATGTGTAGTCTCAGCTTTACGGGTCTTACTTTGACTTTTTTTAACATGCCAACAGAGTGGCTCCATGTCCATCTGTTGGCAGGCATCAAGATGTCCGGACATCCAATTATTACAAATCTTTATTTATACAGACAGATAATAATCCCAACGCTACTGGCACAAGTGGCACATTCAGTGACACATTCAAACCTTAGGAGAATTTAGAGCCTTCTAAATTCAGTTAGCCTACCTTTTGCATGTGCGCTTCTTGCCACTTTTTAATATGACTTGCAGTACCACCAAAATCCAGTAGATGGCAGTCTGTTGCTATAAACACTGACATGAAGCCACCTTGCCCTGAAAAATGCCTCCATCCATCCATTTGCTGTACCCATTATTCCTATTAGGGTCATGGGGAGGCTAAAGCCTATCCCGGCTTCCACTAGGCGACAATATCCACCGTGGACAGGTCGCCAGTCCATCACAGGGCCACAAACTAACAGTTGCCGGGGCATACATTCACTCCTATGGGTGATTTAGTCTCCAATCAGCTTAACGTGCATGTTTTCAGACTGTGAACCCAGATAGAACCCATGCGTGCACGTGGAGAACATGCAAAGTCTCCTGAAATATCTCCACTGCAAAAAACTGCCACATCCATGCACATTTTTTTAAAAGTATTTGCTGTTTGGGTTCAACAAGGTTTATCATAAAACAGAAATATAAGGAAACATGTGTTACCACTGTCTGCAGGATCATCCACTAGTTCTTCTTTTTCCAAGATTGTTTTTGCCCTTTCTCGTCTGAGTGCTTTGATCTGCAATGTTTTCATAAAAATTCAAACTTTGTTAATTATTCCGTGGACTGGGTTTGACGTAGGAAGGCATTTTCTCTGATGTGCTGACTGAAGTCCAGCTTTTTTTTTTTTACTGACTTCCCCAAAAAATGATACATACTTTGTATCAATTTGCTTAGTGATTTATGTAAAGATATTTCTAACATCATTTGTAAGTTCTTCCCACCTCTCTCAGGAAGTCTTCGTCTCTGAGTCTGTTTCTGAGAAGGATGATGTCAGCGTGCCGGCTCTCCTCTGAGCTCCATCGCAGGTTTTGCCGGACGGTCAGAGTCATGTTCCCCGTGTCGTGACAAAACCTCAGCAATCGGGAGCGGTCTGCCCAAACCTGGGACAGACCTGCTGGAGGTGTGGCCAGAGGGTTGGGGGGGCTGTGGCATGAAAGGATGGTAAGCTCAGATCCCCCCAAAAAACACTGTGCAAAAAGATGTCTTTGAAAAAACAAAAATGGTCTTAAAGTACTACAACTACAAGAGATCACACCTCTTTATAAAAGGAAGTTAGAATAAGCTTAAGTCATTCGAAGTACGGAAATGTTAGACATGTTTTTACAAACACCCTTACTAATATCATCCTTTTCATTACGTCACTTCAATGTCAGATCTTTTGTCTTTTGTTTAATCTTTGCAACCTTTCTTTCACTGAATCAACTAGATCAACTGTTGGGGAGCAACTTTACCACTTTTTACTTATTGATTGATCTGTAAAAAGGCGAGTATAAAAAAAAAAAATGTTCTTAACTTGCACCTCTTTGATTATCGCCTTGACTTCACACTGTTCTTGTTCTCTGCAGCAGATTTGTCCTTTTTTATTTGACCATTTTTTACATGATTGGCTCATGTCAGATTCCTCTTTGAATAACAATTTGTGGGACGAATCAAGGCAGAGTACGTAAGTCATTCATTGACATTTACAAAAAAAAAAGGTATGTGCACCCTTTAAAAATATGGACATTTTCAAGTGAATTTACTTCTAAAGTTGGGAGAGTATGGCCCTGAGCAGATTCCATGGTAAAGTTGATTTTTTTTTTCATGGAAATAACGGACAGTCTTTAAGGCTGAAAACTTTAGATTTGCTCTAAGGCGTGGTGGTGGGAATGTTTTGACTTGTGGCTGCCTCGTTCTCAGAGGGAATGTGCATCCTGCCATTGCTAATTCAACTATGAATTCAGCAAGAATGTTAGCGCAAAGCTGCCTTTCACAAAGTTGAAGTCGAGCAGAAGCGTAAGGACCCTAGACATACCGGTAAATCCACCAAGGAATGACTCAGAAAGAGGAATTGGCGGGCTATGGGATAGCTAGTCCCAGCCCACATTTAAACCCCATTGCAATGTTATGGTGGAATTTGAAACAGGCAAACTTTTTCCCCTGTATTAAGTCAGCAATAAAAGCCTATTTGACACACTTGGTCTTTTTATTAAAATAAATGCAGCAATTGTTGTTTTTTCAAAAAAAAAAAAAGACTAGAAAATGCACACAACATGTGATGAGTTTTCTTATCAGGGATGTTGAAGACTTCAACCATATGCACTGGCGGTAGTTCATTTTTATGGCCCTGTATTTATGGTATTCCAGAAATGGAAGGAATGAAAATGATCTGGGGTTATGGTGGAATTAAAACTTGATTGTTTCAACATTTGGATGAAAGCTATTCGGTCAGTGCTCTCTCTGTGTGTGTGTGCGTGCCTGAGTGTGAAAGCTCTACAAAGCATGTATAATGTTTCAGCAAAACAGTGATTCATTTGTCAGTGTCTCTGCTCAAAGTGCCTTGAAGGAGCTTAAAGTCTTACTGTGTGAGCAGCTCCAGCAGCTCAGTGTTGCCTGCCGTCTCTGCCAGCTGCAGTGGTGTTATTCCCTCTTCGTTTGGCAGATTGACAGCCATCAAACCCCCCGGCTGGCAAAGCAACAGCTCTGCAAGATGATACAGACCCCATCGCACAGCCAGGTGGAGGGGAGACTCTCTGGGACTGCGCTCTGGAGAAGAAGCAAAAGTACAGCACAATAAGAATTTTAAAAAATCGATTTTCTGATTTCAGCGTGGACAGGAAGATGCACGACGACTCCTGCAAGAAAGAGGGCAATAAGATTAACAGAGAGAACAAACTGAACCAGAGGGGGAAAAGGGAAGGACATCATTACATGGCAAACATTATCTTGACAAACATCTAATCATTATAATTAAACAAACTGATTTATTTTGCTCAAACTGGTCTACTGACCCACATTGGGCAGTCAGGCCAAGACATAATCTTTAAAAGATAAAACACCAACACATTAAAAAGTTCATTTTAGTCTGTCATCTGTAACTCTTGGAGGTACACCCTGAACAATCAATCCATCACATGCACGCGCACACTCAGTTAACCTCAATTGCATGTTTTTGGATGGTTGGAGGTAGCCTGGGAGCACACACACATAGAACAGTTTTAAAAGAGATTGAAGACAGGAACGTTCTGTCTGTGAGGCAAAGGTGATAATGTTCATAAAGATAGAATTCTAACAGAATGGGCAAAATACCTGAAATGCCACAGCTGATGCAAAGAAACATGAACTATTTGATTGAGATAGTAAAATGCTTCTGCTGGCTATACACCTTCATTTTAGTCGTTCCCTCAAAGTAGGTGATTATGTACTCTAATGTCTAAAATGAGTAGGCGTGATGTTTGGTCTTTATTAATGCAGCATCAGAAGGGGGGACAGTGCCAAAATGCCAGTGGGAGCATCTAACAGTTATGTGGGCTGTGGCCTACACACATGCAAAGATTTGTTTTATGTTTGGGGGAGATCAATAGGAAAAGGATGAGGTTTGTAATTTAAAAGAAATTAAAAACTGCATTGAATCATTAGTGTGAGCATGTAATTACTCCTCCAGACTCCTTCAGTCATGTGACTGGCTCTGAACGAAAACCCGTTGTGGATTAGCTAGACAGGTAGACTTCGCTTATGAGAAGTCAAATCATTGCAGAGGTAATTTTACACCAAATGAGGACACAATTAAAAATTAATAAAATTATTTTAGTTAATAAAATACTTAAAATACCACATGTATGTATGTAAAGTAGCTTAGAGCAGGTGAAACATTTAGGATTTATTTAGGTTTCTTCTTTTTTGATTATCTCATTACGTTTCAATCAAAATAACGTTGCAGACACCAGCTATGGTTCTGTCCTTGTTTAGGCTGCACACCAGCAGTTTGCAAGAGGACCTATATCAGAGGGTTTTTTTCCCGTAAAAACCTCTGATAGTTGTCAGGATGGGTGCTTCAAAAAAAATTCTCAATGATCTTTTAGTTAATGTTAAAAGTTGGAGAATGATAACTGAGGAGAATGAAGGAGCACTGGAGTGATGTCATAAGTATTTTTATCTAATTAACTGCAGACATTGAGAGGGAGACTCTGCGATGAAACAGACTGCCATAACAATATTACTGCAAAATCTAGCTCGTTATTTATGTAAGTGGCCTTGCATAAACACTGGGGATCACGCAAACAGATGGTGGCATCTAGTAAACACGGTGGCCGGCAACAACAGAGACCACACACATGCACATAAACACAGACACATACGCACATGTCCCATCAGATTTATTACGCTGTGCCCGGGGCTACTTCCAGTTGGAAAAGCTCTATTAATCACATTACATGCGGCTTAATTGGCTTTGATGAATTTGACAGAAGTGTACATGTGACCATGTTCACTTCCGATTTCGGCCATTTGAGTGCAGAAAATGGGAAGGATGGCAGAAGGTGGTGAGGAGCGAAGCAGGGTTGAAGAGTTCACCCCGCCTGCATGGAACCAGCTTCCAGTTTCCAGCATGTGAGGTTATGGCAGAGCCTGCCAAACGCAACTGCTCATAAAGTGCCTTACTGTTTGTTGTTCCTAAATGGACAAGCACTAAATCCCTCCTCACTTGTGTTTCAATTTAGTTCAGATGTTTCCTCTTTTGAAAATTCCTCATCTACCAATTTGTACCTGTTTGTGTCTTAGAATGTAATTTATACTGTTTAAAAGATTTAAACTTCTTTGCACTTAATGTAATGGGATAAATAAAGAATAAACAATGTGGGCTGAAATACTCGCTCAGCAAAGCAAGACCATGCCGTTCTTACTGTCTCCTCTGTGGCTCCCAAGTACATTCCAGTTCGGGGGGATATCCAAGTTGGCCATGGCCAGAGCCACTCTACGATCCATAGCCAAGCGAGAGCTCTCCTGGCCCAGACTAAAGAGACTACTCAGCTCCTTGTGATCGGTGGAGCTCAGACAATGTCCATGGATTACCAGGTGCTCTGCCAGGTCCTGGGAAGAGATAAATCATAGATAGAGGAGAATCAGTCATAAATAGACATGGTCAAACGACTGCTTTTGTGTTTTATTTGAACTAATACAACAAACTAATTGAAATATAAATATATATGTATCAGCTATTTGTCATCCCTGCAGAAAATGACATTTTTCTGTGAACAAAAAATTATATATTGCAAGGGCAGATGTTTCACAGAGCATAGACACAAAAATAATCTATGTATCAACCTGTACTTTCTGCACTTTCTGAAAAACACTACCTCAGGTGAAAGGAGCAGCCTGCTGCGGTTGCATTGCTTACCTGAGCATCGTCAGTTACATACTCTAAAGAAGACCTGCCCACCCATGTAAGAGGCATGGTTTTAGAGCACAGGTAGGCCTGGACAGAGACCACCTCGGCCAGGTTATGCCCTAAAGAGAAAAAAAAAAAAAACACAGACTTCACCTCATGCCTCATGCCTGTCTGAGGTTCATACAGCCTAAGGGCTGTTCTGCCACATGTCACTAGCCAAAACACATTTTACACCTTTCAGAAGATGGTCCTGAAAGAGAAAAGAGCTAAAGAAGAGAGAATAACTCATTTCATGGAGAAAATAACCACAGCATCAATGCATATTTATAAGAAAAAAAACAACAACTAGAGTTTATGTTTAGGAGGACATTGAAACAGATACTTGGTTAGGATCATGCATGCAAGTCTACGTACCAGGTACAATAAAGCAGAGCATGACATCACTCTGAGCCCTGGTTATATGGACCAGTGTGGATCCCTCTAAAACAACATAGACCTCAGCATCCTCTGGCATCAAGTCTAAACCCTCCAGTAATGCGAATACCTTCGCCTCACCCTGAGATGAAGAAAGGTGGGAAAGGTTGAGAGGAAAATAAACAGGCAACATGTCAGAGAGTGAAACACTGAGCTTTTCCTAAGTATTTAGGCTCAAGTAAGAGTTGGTCTTTATTCTGATGCAGAAATTCTGCATTTCTCTAAAGTACACCAAATCCCCCGACAGCATTCCTGGAGGGTACAATAAAACATACCCCCCCTCAATAAAAACAGGAATGCCTCAGTGTGTCTTCTGCAAAGACCTGCCCTGATCCCAGCAGGCTAGAACGGTTTCAGCCTCTCCTCTGAGGCAGCAGACTAGTGAAGCACCTGAGTTTTAACACCAGCGCAGAAATGAAAAAATACATACAACAACAATATGACAGAAAGCTTAAGTTTACCTGACACAAAGACTGAAAACTTTCAATAACAATGAAAAACTGCCAGAACTACTAAGGTCACAGCACTTAGTAGAAATGGACACATGGGTCATTTTGCATTAATCAGAATTCTGTATGGTAAGGGGGAAAAAAGAACAACATACCATTACATGATATATCAATAAGTCAACAAAGAATAAAGATGTGTGATAGTAAGATTTGTCTATTCTAAATAGAGACCTTATTCCTGTCAGAATATATAGTAAAATCTAAAGTCAGAAATAATTCAACATTTCTCAAGTATCTATAGATTTTTGCTGTAGAAACAGAGAAGTTGTAAAAAAAGCAATCGTTTGTCATGGTGTAACATTTTTATTCAGAGAAGTGGTTGAACACACTTGAAAAATCCAATTTTGAACTTTTTAAAAATATTTGCCTGTAGCCTTGGTTTTGGTAGACATCCATGTTTTCATCTTTGAATTTAGCACTAAAATGTCTTCTGTCCTGCAGAAAAGCAGTTTCCTGACGGCATGTTTTTTCTACAATGTGTGATATCTCATAACGTGATCCTTTAGTTAAAATGCATATTCTTCAGTCCACTGCAGCACGCTGTTTATCTTTCATACCAGTTTGGGCACCAGCATTTATATGACGTTCTCTGAAAATAATTTCCCATTGATTACCTCTATTCCTTGCCTAGCGACTACTATTCATGTTTTACAAAAGCATACATTAACAAACTAGCTAGTAAGCTCATATCAATGTGGCACGCTGTTGCGTTTAAGGTTGTTCAGTCAGTTTGGGGTTTATTGGGATAGATGGAAAGTAAAATGGGAAATCAAATCAGGGTGGAGTAGGCCCACTTATAAGTTCCTACATTGTCTTATAATTAAACTGTAAAGATAATTTATAGTTTAAAAGGTGGTGTTTTCCCCCTGCAAAATCTTGCTGCATGAGCGTGGGACTCTCTCAGAGTAGCTTAGGCTCCTTCAACTAAATTGGCAGCGTCCATAAAGGAGTGGATACAATAAAGGGGGGGGATGCTACCAGGGGATTACCTCTCTTACTGTTGCAACGCACCTATCTCTCGTATTTGTAGGATCTGGCTAGATTAATTTAGATTTTGTTTGTTTCATTACATTTAAAATCCTCTTTTCTTCTTTATTCAGCTCTGTGTCAGACTCTGTTTTATGACGTGACCCAACAAGCTGGGTCACAGCACAGCTTTAAATGGTAGCCCGCAGCACGAACACAGGGTGCCCGTGTGCTCTCTGATGCACAGCCAAGCATAAGTGGCATCCTTTCACTTTCTGACACACAGCCAGTCTCAATGTGTGGCATAGAGACTCAGGCAGGCAGAGCCTGCTAACTGCATCAGCCCCCCCGGTTTCATTCTTTTTAAGCTAGGGTAATACCCACTGCCATCTAATGAAGTTTATACATATGAGATCAAATTCCTTAGCAAACTTATCTTTTAATTCTCGTTTATTTATTTTTTGTTGTTGTTTAATATGCATTGCATACGCAATGTGCTGAAATGCAATAGAATATTAAGGTTAAAATAAATACACTTTTGGTTTCAGTCTGTCAAATAGGAAAAACACATTGAAAAAATCTCTCTGAGCCACAAGCACATTATTAGAGCTGCCACTCTCCACCATATCAATTTGTCCACCTACGGTGGCCTCAATAGATGACAGGATTGAGGCCACAAGACACAATGTGTGGGTTATTCTTGGAAACATATCAAACAAGTGACTGGGGCAGGAGGAGAGGAAGGAGAGCGGCTGGAGGAAATAGCTAGCAAATATACTGAGCAAGAAGTTTAATACAAATTGGTGTTGGATGGCTCAGAGCTGGTCTTTGTATTCTTTAAGGGTTTATTTATTAGTCTCATTTCACCTTAACGTCTGACCTAATTTCTAATTGCAATGAACTGAGAAGCTCTTCCTGCTTCTGTTTCAGAAAGTGAGACTGTGTCTCTGGCTCACACGAATCAGCTTTTTTCCTTTAATTTATCACTTAATGAAAATAAATTTATTTTTACCCTAAATCTAAAATATCTTCTCAACTGTTGCTGCTTAGTAATAAATATCTTTGAGTGATAGAGCAGATGGCGACCACCATTTTAGTCATGCCCATTAGATGAAAGGCAGACCATAACAAAGAGTATGGTTTTACTTTGAGCTAGGGACCAATGGATCCAAACGGACTCTGAAACTCAAAACATTTGATGCTGGATATGCTGATATGGTGTGACAGTGTGGCCATATGGTGCGTTTTAACCTGAAACCAGCCAGATATGCCCATAAACTCTTTTGTGGGTGTGTTCACACAGAGCTTGTTTTTAAAAAGTCAAAATGTTAGAAATCCAGTGTAGAAGTTTGAGTATACCTAAACTTCATGTTTTAATTAAAAAAGACCAAAATTATGACTAAGAGAAGTTTGAATGTATTTTTTTTTTAAACTGTCACAGTTCTTGTCAAACCACCATAATCAGACAATCCAAAGGACAATTGATTAATTGATATGGAAATCAAATTGTGACTGTGATGTATTTAAAATTCTTCTCTTCACATATTGAGATCTGAATGAGAATCACATCATCGCTCTCAGATTGCAGGTTATTCCTAGAGTTTCTTAAGAAATCTCTCTCTGTCAAACTAAGACCAAGAGAAGAAACCCTTACTAAATCTAACGTACATCGTAAAAGTCTCCCTTTTAATAAAGCTTATAGGGCTGGTTGGAATAACCCTCTAGAGTCTCACTTTTAGATGAAATTTTTGGATGAATATTTGGCACAACTGCATTGTGACTGGACCCAGCTTTGCACGCTGCTGTCTGAATTTGCCACCGGCCTCATAAGATCACTGGCACTGCTTTAAGCTCGGGTTGTTTCAAAACTGGCCAACAATCTGTCCCCTGTCTTAAAAAATGAGCCGTCCCTCAAAGAGCAGGCCGGTGCCGGTAATACAAGCTCATCTGAGGTGTTTCATTACACAGAAGGGGCAGGATGGAGTGTCTGTATTGTGCGTTTTGTATCCTTTGAGTGACCTTGAGCGAGAGGGAAAAAAACAAACATTTAAATTGACACAAATAAGAATGCATTCATTTGATTTGAAAAACACTGCGAGGAATGAGGCCCCCTTTGATCTTTAGAGCACCATTAGTAATCAATATTTGCTAATGCTGTCAATGGGCCAAAGCTAAAACCAGCTAAAATGACCAGACCACAGCCCTGCCCTGTGTAAGTGCAGTTAATACACACGGATCCATACAAAAGCACAGAACGAGAAATATTACACATCAAACGAATAGCAAACACAGGCTTTGATAACTTTGAGTGAGTAATACGAATCGGAAAACATCACCGTGAATGAATCCCAGGGTTACTGATTCACTAGTGTTATAAACAAATGCCAAGTTGGTATTGTCACTGAGTTGATGGATGAACTTGTTTTCTGTCATATTTTTCTTTTTCCTCTACCATGAACGTTAGTTGTTTATGATGCAAACCATGTGTAATAACAGTTATTCTGATGTAAACATGCACATACAGATACAATACTTGTTTCATACTTGTTAAACACTCTTTCTTTTTTTAAAGGTTCACTGATTTTGGGGTGAATTTAAAACTAAGATCTGCAAGGATAAAGAACTATTGAGATTCATTGGAGAAGCTACTCTCAAACCAAAAATGATGGCAGATACTTACATACAGAGGCACCTTCCTCCTGCTTAGCTCCATCTGCACAGCAACTACAAGGAAAGAGATGTTGAATGAGAGAATTGTAAAAACAGAAGAAGAGGGGAAACACACGCTCGGTGTAACCATGTGACTCCTCATTATTTCTTTGGTTATTTGGGAATTTCTTCTGATCCTGAAGAGATTATCAAACCTTTCATGTGCCAAGCAGTCAGGGGTCATCAGATGAGACGGGATAATCTTTTGATCACAAGAATGTGAATAATGATTTTAATGACGATGCTGTCCAGCTCGGTGTGTGAAACACGGTAGCAGAAGAGCAAAATGTTCCCAAATCTGATAAGCAGGCAAGCATGATAATGCCAGCACGCACGCTGGCACGAGTAGGAAATCGATCGAATCAAAATGCTGCAGGGTTCAGATCTGTTCTTTTTCAGTGGCCACTTCCTAAACTGGACACAACAGCCAGGTCTTCACACACTGCAGCAGTCACTGTTAATGAGGCGGTTTCCTGTGCCGCCTCACTGCTCTGTAGGCAGAACAATGCACTCAGGAAAACAACCGAAAAATCATCCCTAAACCAAAACCTATTGAAAATTAATCAAGGACTTCATAGATGACTAAGTTTATGACACAGCAAAGGTGCACAGCAGCTGTGTTGTGAATGAATAGCACACACTGCAGTCTGAATTGAAATGTGTGTGTCTGTTTATCTTTAAGTTTAAAATGCATACTTTAATGCAGGTCTGTTCAGTAAAAGATGATAAAAAAATATATTTGGCTTCTATTAGACACCCCTAAAGAGTTACAAATGATTAGGAAACACATTTAATAGTGTGTTGAATCTGCAAAAGCAACATAAAGGAAATATCCACTGCACTTACCTTCCAAATAGCTCAATCACCGGCAGATGAAAGCTGACAGTGCGTTTATGTTTCCACCTCCTCCTCCCCTTCTCTCCCCAAACGAAGCCCTTACTTCGGGTTCATTGTGCTGCTGCTTACTGAGAGTCAGTTCATTCTCATTCACGTCTGAGGCTGCAGGTTATCCCGGCCCTCGGTCGGTGCCCCCGCGGCTGGCAGTCTGAGCCTCCGCCCCCGCTGACACTGCCATCACCTCCGCCGGAGCTGGTGCTCCGTCTTCCGTCTGCTCAGACGAAAATTCCTCCTTACACCAGAAAGTTCCCGGCTTCTTTAAGAACACAGCGACCTCCAATGGAAAGCTGGAAGAGTGACGGGAGCTATTTGAACAGTGGAAATTTTCCACGCATAACTATTTCATGCTGTTTTTTTTCTCTTTTCTTTTTTTAAAAGTTACCTCAGAAGCACCAGTCCGCTCAAATGTATTACGTCAGAGATTGATTTAATCTTATTTTTGAAAAAACTCCCGGACAATATTAAAACTCAAGGCAGACATTCATAGGAAACAATTGCTCACACTCGTACACGCTCGCATTGACATTAATCATTACAAAACTTCGAATAAAAGTAAGGCTTTACGGGCACATATTTTAAATGTCATCGTGTTTGCTTACTTCTTAAAGTGGCCCTGTATAGTTTGGCTAACATTGACCTGAGAGAAGTCGGGCTGCCATTGGTTGATTTGTTCAGAAACGGGAGGTATGCTCTGTGGTGATTGGTTGATACGACTTTAGTCTCGTTAATTTAACAATGGCGCCTCAACCTGCAGCCTAACTATATCACCTTTTCAGTGATCGTTTACCACACAAATGAAGAGTTTAACACGGAAAATGCTAAATCTATATTTGGACAAAGCATGCAACGTTTTCTATTTCATTTCAGAGTTTAAAACAATTATGAACATTATTTATAATAAAATTGAGTTAAAAAAAATAAAATTAAAATAAAAGACCCATTGTATCTATACTAGTCTGAGAAAACCATTCACAGTAGAAAAGAGCATTTTTCCAGCTAGTTACAAAAGGCACAAGCATACAGAACTAGATCAGCTTGGGATCCTGCTTTATAAGATCATCACACATTCAATGCATCCTCTAAAAAGCATATTAATTCAATATTGTTGCTCAAAAAATTGCCAGTATAAAAACAGGCTATTTCTATTGTGCAACAGGACTGAAAAACATTTGTTTTATATCTGTATTTACATTTTCTCCTGACACTGAGGTACCTATGCAGCCCAGAAAAGTGCTTGTTCCTTTTTTAAAATAAACAGCCTTCCAGGTTCGGCCCACAAAATGAAAAAGATGTTGCAACCTGCTAAAATGTGCCTTGTTGACGAGAGGAGCTTTCATTTAAAAATCATCCAGATCTCACAACCACCTATTTTCTAAATACAGTATTTTAATTCCATTTCAGCACAGAACAACGTTAGATACTAACATTAGTTCAGTCCAAGGATGTTTATGTGGCGTCAGCTGGTTTTCCTGGATCCAAAAAAGGAAACTGCTGAATGACACTTTTAAACAGTGCTTGTATCCATTAGCAAAGCCTGTTAGAGGACCATTTAATTCAAGACCCCAAGCAGATCTGGTGCCTGCAAATGTGAACTATGGTGTCAAGACATTTCAAATAATACATTTTAGACCTATAAAACACTTGCCCCCCCAAAAAGACATTCAGGTGGCTTGAAGCTGTGGTCTCGATGTACTCGTTTCGCCCTGAGCCAGGCCATTAGACCTGCCGGTGTCTGAGCAGGGCACCTCCTTCCGAGGGAGGGAGGAAGCAAACAATGTGTCCAACATGCCCAAAACACTCAGGAGCTCCTTCTGGCACTCCAGCTCTTTGTCCATCAGCTCCTCCAGACGCAGCAGCTGTCGGTCCACCACCGACGACTGGCCCATCACAGAGTGATAGATGTCCAGGATCATGTCGGCCACAGTTACCAGGACAGGAGCAAACCTGATGTCGACCAAGTTACTGTAAAAAAATTAATCGTATAAAAACATATTTAGAAATATAGGATACACTCTCCAGCTCATCTCCAAACACTGGGATTGGGTTTATATCCTTCCCCCCACTCTGCAGGACACATCCGCTGAGAACTCCATACGACTTAGGACCAATGACTTTTTTCCATAGGCACAGTTTGTTCGGCCCGGCATGGCTCTACAAGGTTTAGGTGGGCTTCAATTAAGAATTATGGCCAGGAAGAAAGACGGGCCCACCGGAGTATTATGTCATTAGTACTTGCTTCGTGTCTTAGACATTTACAGTGCTTATTATCATAAAAATAATCAAATTAGGTGCTTGTTATTGCAGAGGTTTTTTTTTTACATGGCCGGGATACAAATGATGGAGTCACTAATGCTGCGACTCCTTGGCCAATCAGCTCTTGGCAGTCAGCCCGGCCGGCTAGGTGCTTAAACTGATTGGTGGAGCAAGCCCTGAGTGGAGATGCAAAATGCCGTGTAGAGCCGTGCCCATAGCTTCCCGCTTCCACTTCTCACCCGATGAGGAAGCTGAGGAAGCGTGACAGGTCCTGCTCATCCCGTCCCGCCAGCGCGTTCCTCAGAGTTCCCCTCCGGTCCAGCTCCTTCATGACCGCCACGGTGACCTCTGGCTTTTTCAGTCTCACCCATGTCTGCAGATAAAAAAGGAGAGTAAATCTGATGACACTCCCATTGATGATTATGCCATTACACAGCTTAGAAATGAGCGATAAAGAAATACTGTGCATCTTTTATCGCAAATTGACAGAAACACATTCAAATGAAACCAGCTGATGAACTTCACCGCTAAATGTATGTATTATTATTATTATTATTATTATATTATTTATTTATTTTTTTTTTACCAGCAGGGCAGCATCCAAAGCTTTAGATGCGTTGAATTTCTTGAGTTGCTTGTCATATTTGGCCAGATGTTGCCTCACCGGTTTACTGACCAGATAATCACCCTGGAAGAAAGAAGAGGTGCAGCAAAGAACATAGATGGTGAAAAGATGAAGAAAATTGCTAAAAATCAATCTCTCAAGTAGCAGCATGTCAAATTCACTAAATGCATCTCTTGAGGACCATTAAGTCAACATTATGCAGACTTGCCTGTTTGGGGACGTAGTTCTTTCCTTTCACAAAAACCCGATAAGATGGTCGCCGCCTCTGCTGGCTGGTTTTTTCTTTTGAGTCTTCGGGGCTTTTCCTGTTTTTGATGCTCAGTATACTATTGGTCATACCCACGACAATGGACTCGTCCTCAGGCTGGGGGGGGGATACATAGTTTTATTGTTTAAGACAGGGTGAGTGATTCAGGATATAAATTTTCTTCAGAAATCATGTTTTGTATCACAGCATTCTTTCAATGTGCATTTCAGCTTCTGTTTAATTAGGAAAATACTTACAGCTAGAGCCAGACTGAGGATAGAAGCCTCATAGTCAAAGTTGTGGACCACTTTGTAGCTGGTTGTGTTGTACACCTTTACATGCCTAAAGAAAAGAAAAAGCTCTGCATTAGATCCGATGTGTTCACTCTTCCTTTATTTGTAGAGGGTGTATCCAAAGAGAAGAGTTTAACCTACAAAAGGACACACTCTGCCCATGGAACATTTCACCAAACATTGATTACATCAGGTTTTCACTGACAATGATGGACACAAAAAGCCAGAATATGTAAAGCTCTGACTATTTCTGACTCTTCTCCATGTCCTGTGACCTCACCTGTCCAGAGAGGCTGACAGCAGCCTCTGCCCGTTGCTGCTGAGGGCCAAACAGGTGACCGTTTTATGGTGGTTCCTCAGAGACACCAGAGGCTGGCCTCCTTTCAGAAGATCCCACACTTTGACATAGCGTCCACCTAAAAGATACAGAAAGTTTGGCTTCAAAAATATGTCTTTCTTAACAATTTTCTGAATGTTCAAAATGTATAAGAAAACTTGGCCGGAACAAGTTTATGTCAAAGCTAAACATTTTGCTCTGTTAAACAGGAATTAAATTCTATATAGATCATTAAAACTGAGGGAACATTTCCAGAGAGAGGGCGAGTCCTTTCACCCAAAGTCTGATGTCATTTTGCAGCCATGCTGCCTCCTGCTGGTTTAAATGCAGCCAGAGTGATGTCACACCTCAGAACATGGACTGTTGTTTAGAAGCAACTAAACTGGACTTGGTAAATAAAGTGGATCTGAGAATTAAAGAGACAGGAGCCACAACATGGTGACCTGTTAACAACACAGTAAAACTAGCTGTAAGGGGAACCTGATTGATCAACTTAGTCTATGAAACCATCATTTTTCCTGTAATGAGATGAGCCACCTACTGGTCTTAATGAGGAATGCAAGTTGAAAGCAATTCCAAATTAAGTTCTAACTTTAAGTTATTTTCTTTAAGTTGCTGGCGGACACCCTAAACTGAACATCCACTTCCTTTGAAATTAGATTGCTAATTTGCGGTCAGATCTTCAGTTAGTTTGGAATAAAAACTTTAATTTTCTACATGCTATTCTGCTGCTAACCTGCTGAAACAAGCAGCCCCTCCGTGGGATAGAGGAGGAGACTCTCCACCGGCTGGCCGTGGTCCATCGTCATCACACTCTTTTCTGCTCTGGCATCAAACACTTTCAGCGAGTGGTCATACGATCCTGGAACAAAAGTATATGGAAAAGGTTGTTCACACAGAAAGGATTTTAGGATTTTAAGAAGACAACAAATATGAAGGATTAAGGCCAGCAAAGGTTAGCTCCCGTTACCCCCCCCCCACACACACACACAATGAGCCTCGGTCTCACCGGTGATGAAGAGATCTCTGTTCAGTTTGCTGGTAACACCACAGCGGATGTAATCTGTGTGTTCTTGGTAGGAGGTGAGCTCAGCAGCATTTGGGATGTCCCAGAGCCGGCAGGTGTAGTCGTCCGACCCCGTGAGGATCTGGTAGCGGTCTGAGGTGAAGTCTGTTACGTGCACAGCCCTGGAAACAAAAACAAAAACAGTTTTTTTTTATTATTCACTCCAGCTGCTTTTACCATCAAATATTTGGAAAAACGGCTTCTGGGTTGTCAGAATTCTTGAGATCATCAGAAAGTTCAGTCGATGGATCACTCAAGATATCATCATTCAACCGTCCGTAACAGCAGAATGATTACAAAACACACTGTCACCTAGCTGATATTTGACAGTTTTAAAAAAATGATAAAACACACAATATAAAATCCAACATTAATCAGTTTAGATTCTTTGAGAAGTAACTGTTAAGACAAAAAGAAAAGAAAACCCAAACTATACCACATTCCCATTGGAAAAGAGTTCCCATAACTTTATGGACACAAAACCCTAACCCCTGCTTTTAGTTTAGGACTCAACAACAAACAATTTCAGATATAAAGCTCTGACTCTTACTTTGTGTGGCCCTTGAACATCCTGAGTGCCACCTTGCCGCCGACATCAAACAGCCGGACCACAGAGTCTTCACACCCTGCAACAAGCAGCTGCCCGTCGGACCTGAACCTGCCGCAGTACGCAGTGTCCTTGAATTTGGTAAAAGTCTTGACGGGCTCATGGGAAAAAGGCCCATAAATGTGAATCTGTAGAGGGACAAATGTTGGAATAAGAGAAGACAACAAACAAATACCGTTTTTTTTTTATCTAAAAATTAGATATTGAATTAAACCAGTTCTAAGGAACAAGTGTACCAAGTTGCTTCTACATCCAATAACGATCCATTTGAATTATCCGTTAAGGATGCATTTTAATCTACAGACAAACTACCGAATTCAAGCAAAAGCAGCTTACTCTCGTGAACGCTGTCACAGCAAAGTTATGTGGGGCCACAGGAGAGAAGTCTATGTTTGAGACTGCTCCAAATTCTTTTATCAGGACAGGCGCCTGTGTGAAGAGAAACAAAAACACTTAAGAGACTGGATACAATTTTTTTTCTTGAATTTCTAAAATGACTATTCAGAATTCAACAGAGCAAGCGGCAGAAAAGATTTACCTTGTAGTTCTTCCAGTACAATGTGTCTTGTGTGACTTTTTCTCCAAGTTTTGGATAATCTGGGATTTTTGTGGGTTTAAAAGATGCCATCTCTGTGCTGACAGCAGGATATTCTACAAAAGAGCAGGCAGAGACACAAATGCATTCAGAAGTCACTTAAAAAGGTGGATGCTTCAATAAACAGAATGGTGAGCAGCAAAACACCATTCGATTAAAAAAATAGCAACACTCCACTGTCCGACAGCCTAGTAAATTTCTGATTATTGTTCACCCGTGAATGTACAATAAAACTTCCTGTCACAACTAAATAAAAAGTCAGTAACGGAGCTGAATTTAAAACCAAGCTTATGTCTGGGAAGTTTTGAATTGATCATAAATGGGCAGATAGAAGTTCGTGCTCTACATTTTAGATTTATAAAATTAAAACTTGAATTGGATGTTATTGCTCTGAAAATAAAACGAGCATGTTATAGTCACCCAACGTGCTCGGGACAACACAACTCGGCAGCACACTGCCGGTTAGCAACGCGGCTAAACAGCTCTCTGAGTACTCTCACCGTTACAGAGAAAGATCCTGGAGTGCAGTCTTGCTGTTCTTACATATACAACGGACTATTTTTTCTAACGTGCCGACGGGAATTGTTCGATTAAAAGGAAACTTTCTCATTTTATCGGGTGATCACGTTGCCTGTCGAAAGGCAGGAGGACGCCATGTCTCTGAAAGGAACTACTTCTTCTTCCTCAAGTCGCACCGTTGGCGTGTTGCTGCCCCCTAAAGACTGGAGGCCTCAACGTCAGGCCAATACTACGAAGCCAACTAGGGGAACATGTGAGGATTTTCCTTTCCTTTACGTTACTACCAATACATTTGCATTCCCTTCCACAGGTTTTGTATTCCCACGGAAAACACGTCTGCTGTTGAGGCAAATGTCCCACAAAACAAACATGTAAACTAGCAAGTTCTTTATCCAACATAAATTCCAATAGCCTATTTATTTGTATTAGAAAAATGTATGACTTAAATAATAATTCAAAATCCAAGAAGTCCTGTTGCCCTTGCTCAAACTCTTAGGATCCCTTTGATCACAATAATTAATTATCTCGAGAAACCACTTCTACAATTGTGAGATAAGCAATTAAAAGTATTTTGTAGTGATTCACTTGTCTTTCTCAATTAAAATTCTTAAATATTGGAATATAAAACACTGATGTGACTTAAATAATCAGAAAGTAAAAACGGGATGAATAATAATTTACAAATGTGTACAGTAGTTTAATCAGGAGAGAATTCTCAAGACATCCGGATGCTGCTATTCTATGGACGTCACTTCCGGTAAGCCCCCCTTTTTTCCTCCATCTGCTGCTGTGTGATCCGCGTGTTTGCACACTCCCAGGTCTGTTCACGACTGTCAAACGTTATAAGAGGTCTCAATCGACTGTAACCGTATTGTGTCATATGATTGATAACCCCACGTCATTATACTGAGTTAAATTAGGACAAATCAGCAGTTAGCACTGTTGTTCATATCTGTTTTTAATCAGGCCGAGGCTAGGTGTTTAGCTTCTTTTGCTAATTATTCATCCCTTCAGGGGACAAAATCTCCAAAATTTGTTGGGAACGAGATGATTATATGTCAACCTATGTATTATGACATAATTGATCCGGAGTGGAAGTAAGCTTATCTTGCCATTCAATAACACGATACTCCTAATTTTAAGGAAGTAGCATTTTACTAGCTCCCCACCTCTGTGAGAATTATACATAACTTGAATACAGACGCAGCTTTTTTTGGTCCTTTTATAATTGTATATTCTTAATGGTTTGATACGTCAAAGCAAAACTAAAGGGAGATTTTAGGTGCTTTTACTCTTTGAAACTCTGTGAAACAGCGCATTCAGTGCCCACAGTATTATTAGGTGTGAGTTTGAGGTGGGGGGACAAACACTAATGTTGCTTTTGCTAATTTCGGAGTTTCGTCTTTAGGTCAAACTCATCTTACGATCAAAATGTGTAAAAACCCTTGAAAAAAATATTCATGCCAAATTGCATAGTTAGTTCAAGTATGAAATTTAAGAGATGATTATTAAATTAGCTTGAATTTTATTGTTTTTGCAATTGTAGTTCAGCATCTAACCAAAAGTAAAAGAAGCACTGAGTACCATACACCATACATACCAGTAAGAAAATATACAAAGTAATTTGCTGAGATTTTAAAAATTGAATGTAAAAATGTAGCATCATTGGTACTATAAGAAAAAGGCAGATGATAGCTTATTAAACTTAAACTAATTAAAATATTCGGTACATAGCACTTTGCGAACATCTTGTTTAAAGTGTGCCCACTGACTTTTTTGGCTGATATTTTTCTATTTTTTTCTAAAATTGACTTGTTTTAGTTGAACCACTGGTTTTGTTTCTTATATCAGATGAAGGAGTCGATAATGAACCAGGAGAAGCTTGCCAAACTGCAGGCGCAGGTCCGCATAGGTGGCAAGGTGCGTTAAATACATGACATAACAGAAGTGTTCTTAAATTGTAAGTTACATGTATTTTAGCTCACATTGTTGCTTCATAGGGGTCAGCTCGCAGGAAGAAGAAGGTGGTGCACAGAACAGCAACAACAGACGATAAAAAGCTGCAATTCTCCCTGAAGAAACTAGGAGTCAACAATATATCTGGTATTGAGGAGGTACTGCTAACTGTTTCTTTAACAGTAATCTCCATTATAGCCATTAGTGGTGTTTGTTTGATAAGAGGAAGGCCGTTGCTCTGTCCTTGTTAAACGTTTTGCGGAAAAAAGTTTTCCTCTCAATCTGTCTTTCATTGCAGGTGAATATGTTCACAAATCAGGGGACTGTGATCCACTTTAACAACCCTAAAGTTCAGGCTTCTTTGGCTGCCAACACCTTCACAATCACAGGCCACGCTGAGAACAAACAGCTAACAGAGATGCTCCCTGGGATCCTCAACCAGCTCGGTGCCGACAGTCTTACCAGTCTCAGGAGATTAGCAGAGAACCTGCCCAAACCAGGTCCCCACAACGTTTTTGACACAAAAAAAAATCTTTTTCGCATCAGCATGTCTGTATGATGATCACTCAATTTTTCATTCCTCCTCAGCTGGAGAAAACAAAGTCCCCATGGTCGCTGATGAGGAAGAGGATGATGAAGTTCCAGGTAAAAACATTAATTGACATCCCCGTCTTAACAGCCCAGAAAAACAGCTCCTTTGTGTTTTCCCTTGTTAGACACAAAAGTAAACGTCTAGGGTCAGTATGCTCTGCGGTGTCTACTGTCAGAAGCTCTAATTAGCCACAGTGGATCTGGGATAAGGTGGGGTGGGAAATGGGGATTTTTCCGCTTCATTAGTAAACCGTGCAGCGCTTTCACATTAACTGCCTGTTTTGGGACTCACCTTTCTTCATCCCTCTGTTTCCATTTTCAGATCTTGTCGAAAACTTTGACGAGGCTTCGAAGAACGAGGCAAATTAACAAACGGCGGCCAAAACAAAAGGAGGAATGGGAGCTTTTTCTGGGCCCCGTTGCTTTGGAAGAGCCGTTCTTGTGTTCATCTGTTCATTTCTCTGTGGCAGCAGAAGCTGTTTTTCATTGTGAATGTGACCGCCGCGCGAAAACAAGTGAAATGAACCTTTTCTCGTAACTCTCTATTTCACATGAGCTGTTTCGCAGTACAAGTGAAGCTCTTTGATTTTTGTGGAATGTGCATAACCCTCTTTTTCTCATGCTGCCTGTCCTGCACTGTGATGCCCACACATCAAAAATGTATTGGTGGAAATAATTATGTAATAAAAGTGACATTTAAAGTTTTCTTTTAATCACACTTCGTGATATTTTCCCAGCATTCAACTTTTATTTTGTTAGTTGTTTTAAATACGGATTCCCACGGTTCTCGTAAGTTGCCAACTTAGTGGAGGGGTGGGGGCAGAGAAATTAGGAACGAGCCAGAGAAAACGTGAACTGTTTAGCAAATGGAGAACAAGTGCTCTGTAGCTGTTGATCTGCTTTGTGTCTGTGTTGAGAGAGCTCTGACCAGAAGTCGCAACCCAATGCACAGATTAATCATTTATGTTGGAATTGGGTCTAAGTTACATTAAGTGTCAAATTCTGTGTTTAAAACACAGTCAATAGCTACATTTATAAGCTTGTGTTCCTTTCACTGCGGATTACAGTGAATCCATTATTTACCTTGTCACAGTACCTCACTCTGGCTCGTGAAAGTTTATGATGTTCTCATGTAAAACTGACTGCAAAGTAATGGTCATAAAAGAGGCAGTGGTGGTTCATCCAGAGTTGGAGCTTTAGAGTTGCATCCAATAGAATATTTTTTGTCAAACGTCTGAAATGAAAAGGTCGTCCATAGTTGTGCCATAATCAAATAAGTTGCTGAAATTGTTAACATTACCATTTTACTTGAAATGTAAGAAGCTTGAGTTTGATTTTTGACCCCACCTTAATATCCCTGCCTGTATGCCAAAACCACACATCATTACTTCAGTGAACCCATCTCTGACGTTACATTCACCGCGTTAATCAATAAGCGGTCAGACAACACCGTACTTTTTGTTGCCCGGCATATAATAAACAGAGGTGGCTTTGTTCCACCCATGATGGAAAGAATTAGTGTGTTGTTAGATGCAATCCAACCATAGATTTTAAGAGATAAACTTATTTTAAAAAATTATACAGCCATTATCTGAAACATTTAACTACAGCTTTGTTCTGAATTACATGGAAATACATGGTGTTTCTCCTTTGTATGACTGTTTTGATTAAAATGTGTGCTTAACAAATGTAAGGCGATAGCCGAATTGACTGAAAACTATGCCACTGCAGGTCATGATCGTTTAAGGAACTGAAACCTAAAGTATTTTTGTTCAAATGACACACGTCAGAGAATTCTTGGTAAGTTAATGTCATACATGTCATACTTTGAGGCAGAATTCACCTCCATTTCTGAAGGGACAGAATTAAAACGCTGAATATTAATGGGGCGCTGGCTCATTGTGGAAGTACTCCACAGTCCACATGATCTACTTGAACTATGGTTGAAAATAAACATACAAAGTTGCTGTGGTTCTGTCATGGCTCACAATTTTCCACACAAAGCAGGGTGGCCCCTGATGTGATTAATGCAGGGAAAGTCCTGCTGTCTGTCCCTTTTTCTTTTCCTTTGTAGAGAGGGCGTGTGTGCATATATTTGATCTTGGGGGCAGTAAATGTCCAGTTAGTGGTATAATGGGGGAAAACCAGTGTCATACTCTTTCGCAAAGATACTTCAAGATCATCAATGAAATTTAAAGTAATTTTAGGTTAGAGAAACACAAGAATGTGAAGATGCTTTCTATCTCTGGTTTATCTAGCACATATGCATTCAGTAAACTTTAGACGTCTTTAAAGTGTGAAGGAGTGGACAGTGTTCCTTTTTTCTTAAAGCTCAAGCAGTTATATTCAAGTTTTTTTGTATTAATATATTAATATCCAGTCATTTTAAAACTAAAATGAATATTTTTTGTCATATCGATCAAAAGTATTCATTTTGAAGGTTGGAAAGCATCAGTTGAACAAAGTGCTTACTTTAATATGATGATAAATACTTACATTTCTTGTCTAAAAGCTACTGTTGGATTGTGGGATTGACAAATGTAGGATTTATCATACCACTAAATGGTTCTCGGTCATTTGATGGAAGTCTCTGTGAGGCCCTGCGATGGACTGGTTGACCGTCCAGGGTTTTCCCCGCCTCTCGCCCATTGACCACTGGGATAGGCTCCAGTTTTCCCAGCGACCCCATTAGGGAATAAACGGTTACGAAAATGGATGGATGGATGGATGGATGGATGGATGGATGGATGGATGGATG